TTAATGTGTAAGATTATAATAGTTTTAAAAAATCATTGAATTATAAAATTACAACCGTAGCAAAGGTCATCACTGAGGGTCATCACGGGTCATCACTCTCATTTTATATGTTTTTCATCGAACCATATAGAGCTACGCCTTTTTCTATATGAGTGGTTATAATCAGCGGAAACTATGGGCGAGAACTGAAAATCGCCAATCGCTAAACAATTTTTCGCTGCATATTAAAAATCTCTTCCATCATTCTGCCTATAGTAAAACAGACTTTTCTAGTTATTTTTGAACTTAGACTATATAAATTGTCCTAATTCTAAAGTTATAATATTTGTATTCTGTTTATGGGGTCCTAGGTTGTAGGTAGTAGCGGAATCCCAGTACCTATAGGTACATTACACCTGTGTTCCTTTATTCATAGACAGTTAAGTACCGAAAAGTACTGTCTGTTTACGTATGCACCCGTAGATATGATTATAAGGTTAGCCCCAGAAATATATCAAATTAGGTATTTACAGCAACTGGCCCGGTCTCAAATCCGTGGAGGAGGGAGAGGAGAGGAGCCGTGGCTGTTACTTTTATTATTCTATCTATAATATTATAATTAGGGAAATTTGTATGTTTTTCGGTATCTTTGTATGTTAAGCTGAAAGGATTTGTATCAAATTTGGCACACAGATTGTTTATTACCTGGATTAAGACATGGCTGCTAATAGTTTTCCCAGATTTTATACCCGAGAAGTTTTAGGTTTCTGTGAGACTTAAAAAAAACTACAGTACTTTTAATTCCACTGAAAACTTTCTGGTCTATCTGCCTATTAAAAGTTCTATATAATAAGTAACTAAAATTAAGTTCTCATGTATCTCGAATTGTTGACCTGTCGAGACACGATTTGGCCACCACACGAGTTTTTATTAACCGCAAATTATTGTAGGCAGAATAAAGAACGTACAAAACACATCGGAACTATGCATTTAGCCGTATCTGTCAAGGCCGACCGAACACCGTGACAATTGCAAAACGTTGAATGGACAGCCAAGCCTGGGCGTGGATGAAGTTCACACAATAGACACATACTTGTTACAGACCTACATTGTTGAGCATGTGAACAATCATTTACTTTTAAAATCACATACCTAAATCAAGCACACTATATGAAGACAACACGTGTATCTAGCTAGCAGGAATGTTCATGTGCTAGCCTTTTTTTAATGCAGGCAAAACCTCAGTTCACAGACGACGATGCCTTTAAGAGATACACCGCCGAACGGACCTCACACCTGGCTCCCGCAAGCTTTACGAGCCCCCGCAGTGGCTGCCCACTGAGGACTCCGAAACTCTTACGGGCGCTGTATGGTATAATATCCGCTAAAAACCCTGCGAATACCCTCTACGCTGTTTAATGTGAAGCCGTGGGGTCCCCGTTTAGTGATTCTTCCGCGTCTACGCATCCAGCAGCCTCCCGGCCTCGCCGGGGTTCCATGGCAGGGTTTTCCCGAGATATTGCCGGGACCCCGCAGACGTGCGCAGGAAGGCCCGCGCGTGGGGGCTGAGTACGCGGCCTAGTGCCCACCGTACCACCCCCCGGTTCATGTGCTACCCTGTTTATCATTACCATCAGCCTATTAATGTCCACATTGGTGGGGCACAGGCGAAAGGCCAGATGGATGAAATAGTGAGATTGGGCCATGATCCACTAAGCGGGCCCAGTACAGACTGGTGGGTTCTAACAGCTGCAGATGCAGCCGAGACCAAGGGCTTAACGTGGACTCAAAAGCATGGAGGAACTTGAAATAATAAGTTTTTTGATCATCTGGACGTCCTAGATAGAGATTTATTATTATAATACGATAAAATAAAATATTACTATGTTTCGTCCAATATATTGAAAGTTATCAACTTTTCCAATTTTATTGTTTTCGTCTTGCGAATTTTCGATAAGGTCACGTGTCCTGACGCGATCAGGCCACGTGTCCTGACGCGAGTTTAACATATTTTACCCATTACAAAAAAAGTGTACAACGCCGCTTAAGAGGTTTTCACTTCAAAAATATAATAAAATATTATAAAACTACAGAATCCAATATCTCATAGCACGGTTTCAGTGTTCTCGCCTAGTATGGTGAGTGTGAATGCATCCGCATTGCCTTGCAACTGACTTTTTCATTTAACTTTATATGGGCGGTATGACCCTTTACTTACTAAGCTATTGTTACTATATTAGTTTTATCTAAGTAATATAAAATGGCTATTAGTTTTATATGCAGATAGAAATAATTTACAACTTTGAAGATTACCTACAAGACGTTAAACGGTCAAGGAAATTATATTATCTTATATTCATAATGAAGATTTTTATTAAATTCCAAAATTAAGGTCACATTCTTGGTTCTCAATGCAAAACACAATACTTGAGTACTTACTTATTTAACCTTCGTTATTTAATAAAAACCATCATAATTTTTATGCCATGTAATTATAAGATGCTGTTATCATAAGTAATTAAAGACTAGGAGCATAATAATAACATACAAATAACACAGTCGTAATGTCAGATAAAAATTGAGATGAAACGAACATACTGCGATTCATTTATAACACTGAAACATGTTACTTCATCTTCCTAATTATAATAATGAATACTATTAAAGTTTAAAAACAATAACTCAAAGAACCAAATGTTATATTACTCAAAAGTGGTAAAAAATAATGTAACTAAAGACAAACATATATATTTTATTAAAATTTGCTCAAATTTATCATTACATTGCCCCGAATGAAATTAAAATGTTATATAAATGAGTCTGTAATATTTTTCGTTATTATGATTAAACAATTATAATAATAAGGATTATAGAAATTACTATGCTAACGTGTCAAAACAATTTATATAATTCCTATAAAATCACATCCAATGTGCTAAGTCTATATAATTATCACGATATATAAAAAACATGATTTCAGCTTCATCTTCTAATTATTATAAATTAAGTGTACGTCATTATAATAATTTACATCAGGAAAAAAAGTAGTCACGTTTTTCAATAATAAGAAACAAGTTCGAAATTTAATATTGTAACAAGGAAAACATCAAGTACTTTCCCGCGCAAATGAGCTCCTAGAACATTAAAATACATTATATATCAAATACTTAGAAAACTAAATTAATTACATGCATTGTTCTCATCCTTAATCAAGTTGTGTAACTTAATCTTTTAATTGTACCGCGCCGGTGCGGGCTCGTTTCGTTTTTGTTTCTGTACCCAATCTGCAAATTCTTTACCGAGAACCACTTCTTGGCTGGCTCGATTTTGGTGCAGTATCGTTTCGTTCTGTTTGCTACGATTTTGTTTCCGGGAGTGACGGGAAACGGGACATGCAAGTCGAATAGTTCAGTTGCACTCGGTACAGAGCTGTGCTGTGTATCCGCTCTGTAAAGAATCTATGCAGATTCGGTACAGAAACTAAAACGAAACGAACTCACACCGACGCGTTGAGGAAAACCTTTCCGATTCAGTCTGTATATTCAATAGTTGCTCTCCTCCAATGCTTTTTTTTATTTTGATTGGCAACAGATTTTTAGCTAAATAATTACAATAGTTTGGTACCTATTATAGCCATCCTCGGCTATACTCGAGTGACACCATTAGTTAGCAAATTTTTCACGGAAAGTTAATACTATGTATTAACTAGCTTCCGCTCGCGACTTCGTCCCCGTCATAGTTTAGTTTTTTGAGAATCTTACAAGATCTTTTCATTTTTTCGGGAAAAAAGTATAAATATTTTGTATATTAGTAAATATTATGTTTGTATAGATGTTTTTTTTTCTTAATTTCATGCTAAAACGGCTGAACGGATTTGGATGAAATTTGGCAAATATACCGTTTATTAACTTACCTACTGTATATATAATATACGTAAAACACAAACTACAGCCTACACCGAAGCGAAGCGAGGGCGAATCACTAGTAGTTCTTTATATATGAAAATATTTTCTTTTTCTTTTGTTATCTATAGTTTTGTCAATTGTTGTCATATATGTGTAAGGCATACAAAAAAGCTTTTATTAAATTTATGTATATTTGTTGACGCTCGATAAAAATAAACATATAACTGAATAAATCAACCAATCATTCCGGCCACGACCTTAAAGTTCCAAGTACCGTGACAAATACCATTCGCTAATGTACCGTTGAAATAAAGAATAGTAAAAAATCAAGTTCTTATTTAAGCCGGCACTTCACATGGCTATTCGTGTTTTCTATTTGTCATTTTAACAACAGCAGTGTTGTTCTGTAAGAACGAACTCACATTTCACCGCGGAATTCAATAGTGATTAGAAATTTCACGAAATTCATATTAAAGAATAAGTTTGTCCTTATCATAATCTTTAAGAAATGAAAAGGAGAGACTGTTTTCTAGTTTATAAATAGCAAATAAGGACAGCTATGTTAAGTGCCGGCATTAGACCTAACGACATTATTTTATCTAAGTTTTGTCTGTAATACAGGAACAAGGGTCTTGCTGTGCTTTCATTGATAGTATTCCCTAAATAGTTACATTTGGCCCATTATTATATGCCAGACGTAAAGTCATTATTTATCAGGTTATTGTATATTATTGTTTTCCAAATAACTACGGGAAATAATTGTCAAAAATAGGTGATTTGGAATTTCCAAAAAAATACAAACACTTTAAGCAAATAAGAAAAAATCTAACAAAGTTACAAAAAGTTTACGTAGGTAATATATTAACGTTTAATTAAAGATTGTCACTGCTTTGTTTGCAAATATTTGCAAATCACAAACTTTCTATCAGGCTGTCCTTCACTCATCTTCGACTAGAAAAATCTATAGATAGACTATAGCAAAAAAGTGTAATTGCAGGAATCCATTAACAATTTAAGTACTGTTGTTATCGCCGGCCTCGTCCTTAGCCGACTAACTCTGATATTCACACTTAAAGTACGTCTAATTTTATAAGTTGCATGAGCATTCATACTCACCGAATATTTTAAAGTGTAGTTTCATTTTGTTTTCACGTATTTATTCTGTAATCACACGATTTCCGCACGACAGTTACGTAGGTCTAGATAGGCCGTGACCGCGGGCTGCGCGCGCGGCTGTCTTTCTGTGACTGCGTTGTACGGCAGTCCGGAGGCTTCACGCGCCTCGACCATCCACATCGGCGCGAATTAGCGAGGTAACACTTAGATATAAAGAGAACTTCTCCTTTCTCTCGTGTATTGACGCATATCACCTGATAATGGTCCTTTTCGAGCTGTCAATTCAACTGATAACTATAAGAAACCTTTGTACACGCGGTGTTGTTTTTGTTTTTTTTTACAAATAGATAATTTTCAATCGCTCCAGCATCATCGAGATCAACATGTCGATCAAGATTCATATTGAATTGTAATAAGCTGAAGCATATATACTTATATACCTATTTAAAATCACTTCGCGAAGTTCCCTCCGAATATATTTTCTTCTAAATATATAGCTATACCTGATTAGTATACCGGATTAGTGTCGTGTGATATAGAGCAACACACCCATGTTGCTCTATGAAAGAAATCCCCAAATCTTATCGTAGTACCTACCTACTTTAAATGAATTAAATTTTATGAAGACTAAAACATAATAAGTACTTAATTATTATTTACTTTTTCTCAAAGATGCTTGGAAATGTGAATATTATTTTGACAACCTTCTTCGAGATAAATGGAAATGACTCTTCTGGCCACACACATGCGAGCAACGGCCGGCAAAAGTTGTATGAAAATCCATATCTGTCGTGTAAACACGCTAAAGCGCTAGAAGCGACCAAATAAATTACATAGTAAACTCATATCTGTCGTCTAATTTAAAAATGGAACGAGCTTTTACACCGAAACATGGCAACCAAGGCGGTGACTGTTCAAATATTTTATACAGATTTCGAACTAGATTACGAAATAGAGAAAGAGAGCTGTTTATGAAAAAAAAAAACAAATGAACACTTTTACAAGGGAAAAATTAATGTTGTTCATCATCGCGCATTATTTGAGAACAGCACTATACAAGCCTTGGCCACAATTAGGCATTGATAGACTTACGTATGCGTGCCTCGGCTTCGCCTCAACCCACATTTACACGTTCGTCCATCAATGCCTCTTTTGCTGACCGTTGCAGTAATGTACTATTTCTCAAAAATGCTTAGAAATCAGGATATATTGAAATCGCTGTACCGAGCACATACATAGGAGCAGCGGTCGATAAAATTTTTTTGCGGCCATATAAATTACATAATAAAGTCATATTGTGTGTTGTTTAAAAATGGAAAGATTTTTTACTCGAAAACATGAGAACCAAGATAGTCCAGGCAACGAATGCTCAAAAACAGGTATAGAGGGAAATGCCTGGAACACAATTTTTAACAAAGTTACGAAGTCAAAAATTGTGTTCTAAGCATTTTCCTCTATACCTTTTCGTTGCCTGGACTAAGAAGATATCAAAGATTTTATTTTGAATGTCGAACGGGCTTGTTGTTCTTTGGTCGTCATTTATTTTGAAAAGTACTGTGCATGGACGGACAAACCCAAGTATTATGCTGCAGTTGTCAATAATTTTCTTAATAACTGAAATAAGCTAGTTCAGCAACTAAAATGTATATACGACAACTAGTACAGTCAATCTGTCGAAAAAAATATCGTTTCAGTGAAAAAAAAACCTAAAGGTAAGTCTTGTTTTTTCTGTTGCCAAATGACGTCAGTAAGCCACCTTGGCGACGGGCATGTTCAACTCGTAGGCGTTATTTGAAAAACTCAAAAAAACCTTAAAAAAATTTTTGAAACGCATTTTTCTTGTTTTGTATGCATTTTAGAAACTTTTTTTTGAGGGCGTTGAGTACTACAATTTATGTCATTGTTGGAATCTCTTACAACAAAAAATGCGCATTGTAGGTGACGCTAAAGTCTCAAAAAAGTGTTTTTTCACTTTTTCACCCTAGTAGCCCCACTTGACAATAGTAAAACGTACATTGAAATGTGCACTGCAAATGTGTACTTGAACTGCCCAAAACCGCTCTATTGGATTTTTCATACCTGCGCAATTTATAACTTGAAAACGGTAAGTAATACAAAAAAATTGTTTATACAAAAGTTGTTGATAATTATGTACGGAACAACTTTTCCATTTAAAGTTTTCCACTAAAATGATATTTTCAGGGTGAAAAAGTGAAAAAAACACTTTTTTTGAGACTTTAGCGCCACCTACAATGCGCATTTTTTGTTGTACGAGATTGCAACAATGACATAAATTGTAGGACTCAACGCCCTCTACAATTATGGTCGAAAAAAAAGTTTCTAAAATGCATACAAAACAAGAAAAATGCGTTTCAAAAATTTTTTGAAGGTTTTTTTGAGTTTTTCAAAAAACGCCTACGAGTTGAACATGCCCATCGCCAAGGTGGCTTACTGACGTCATTTGGCAACAGAAAAAACAAGACTTACCTTTAGGTTTTTTTTTCACCACTCAACCTACAGATTGACTGTACTAAACTGTCTTATACGACAATTGTCTGACTTGTCTTTTCCTTGTATATGACATTGGTAACACCATTGATGCAGATATCATAAAGACATTGAAGTTATGGCTTGGACTAGCCCATTCAGCTGATCCCTCAACTCTACTTAGATATCAGAATAGTTTTGGGATAAAGTTAAAGAAGCCATCTGAACTCTATAAACACCTCAGAATCAACAAGATGCATGTCTTGGGACAAACCCAGGATGAAATGGTCTCATCACTTCCAAAAAACCAACGCGTTACAGAGCTTGAGTTTAAAGACTTCAATTCCATAAAGAATTTATGGCAGGTGCACAGGTTGATAGAGTCGGGCTGGGCTCCGCAAAGAAAAAGGAGGACCGAGACATGATAAAATCTTTCCCACAACAAGATGAAAATGTTAACTATAAAGTGCACGCAATGGATTTAGAAATGCAAAGTGAGTGGTTAACCATAGGTGAGTTCTGCATTACATTGCCTCTGCAGTGGCGTACTCGATTAGTCTCCTGCTCTACTAAAATTATATCTCAATGCCTTGCCAATGACCCTCCCAGACCAGAGTAACCTACTAAGATGAGGGAAAGCCTCTGAAAAATCGTGTTATATATGTGGTGAGGAAAAAGGTACTGCTAGGGACATATTGGTAGCTTGCAAGGTGCTCCTTGATAGGGGTACATACGTGAAGCAGCAAGTATTACATTCGCTAGAGCCCAAAAAGGATTAACCACAAATGAAAAACAAATTAACTTTATACAGGAAGGCTCAACTGTTAACTCGAAAAGCAACCCTTTCGCAATCCTAAGTACTGCACCTGACTGGACTATTTTAATGGCTACGTATGAAAAACACTATTAACTAAAAACCAGAGGATATTGGTGTTCCGTCATCCAGGCTGGACATATCCTCTTTTCTAGGCACATCAAACCTAAAGTACTAATAGAGTTTACTGTACACAGGGAAACTAATATTCCAAAAGACCATACAATAAAATTGAATAAATATTACGATCTAAGAAACGAACTAACTTAAAAATGGCTATCTAGTTAATTTATATGCGGTAAAATCAAGAGCGAGAGGTATACCAGGAAAATCTCTCTATAACCTTCTAAAAGACCTAGTCCTGTCAAGAACTCTAGTAAGTTCAATTTTGGAAGGAGTAACTAGGGCTGCACTAACAGGCTCCTATCAAATTTGACTAGGAAGGGCGGGCAACTCGAGCAGTAAAGGTGAGTGTTGATGAGCAATTCAAAGGGGGCCTCTTTAAACCTACACCTGGTTCGCAAATCCTTGCACGATGAATCCATGGATTGCTAAGAAGTTCATCTCATTTTCGCGCATTATTTGAGAAAATTACCTACTATACAAGCCTTGGCCACAACTAAGCACTGATGCTTCGCCTCGGCCAACATTTACACGTTCATCCATCAAAGCAATTGACATCCCGTCTAAATTTAGCTGCAAAATAAACAAGAGACTGTTTTGTTCTAGAACTTAACGTAAGGCTTACGAATTTCCATCAACACAACAAAAACTTTTGAACAAGCAAGTTCTCAAAAAAACTTTGAATTTATTTCGAGACAAGATGACCATTGTTAGTATTGTTTTGGTAAAATCCCAGACACGTCAATAAGTTCTTTAGGAAAGCGCTAACTAACCTGAGTTAAAGTATTTAATCCGGTCAATCTAGACAATAAAAGGTAAATAAATGGCTGGGTAAAATTGTTAAAAACATAATTAAAAATAACATTTCTAAATTCCCCATCGTTCATTGACTCGAGATCAAAGTCAAAAAATGGGTTTTTCGCGATTTTCATCAAAACGGTAAGTTTTATCGTAAAATAACCTAAGACGAAAAATTCAAACAATCGACTTTTGTTTTTTTTTATTATCTCGCACAGAAAAACTTTCTTTTCTTTTTTAGGGCCAAGGTTGCATAATGGTCAATGCTTTTGTATGATATATAGTGTAATAGTGAAGTGTGCGGGTTCGAGTCCATTCTCCGCCTGGCCCGCGTGGAAATTTGTCTATTCAAATTTTAATTACATTTAAACATATAGCAGTTAAATGCTTAAAAAATTAAAAATATATCTATATTTTTTTTTATTTCTCTCTGGGACCTTCCTCCCTTTTTAAAAAGCCTATTCTTTCTAGCTTTCTTTTCCATGCGAACGAATATAATGTACACAAGTAATATTAGTGAATGCTTATTTGTACATGTTGCAGCTGTCCTCAGGTAATAAAATAATACTGCCTTCGTGAATACAGTATCGTTTTTTTAAACTATTGTATAGCTTTAGACGCATCACCGCGGTCGATCGGTTCAAATCCCGCATTCGTTTTCATTTTAAACAATATTAACTTCTCATTAATTCAATAAAAGAAAAGAAATGTTTGCTTATCGGTCACCACCCTCAAAAAGTGTAACTTGAATTAATATCAAAGGAAAAACTTGAATTGATATAAAAAAACTGCATAAATAAAATAATTATAATTGCTTAAGTTGATAAAAAATGCTATGCAATAGCTTTACCGCGGCAGTCCCCGAGTGCCACACGTATTTTTTTTTCCTAACTTTTTCATTTTTAAGCTTCTCATAACTAATAGAAATATAGTTAAAGGCAGAAACGATGTTATAATTATTGAAGTGAAAACTTCTTTAGCCCCATTGTGATTTGAAACTCGATGAAACGAAAACTTAAAAGTATTTGACACAAGGTCACAACACATCCGTAATTTTGTAATTCTTCTTAAATAAAGACAGATAGCCGGTCTTGGGGTTGACAACAAATGATCGGTGCTTCAATCCTGAGCTCGGTTATTTTCTTAATTATTTATTTTTCTTTTTTTTATTTTTTGAAACAATTTAAGTATATAATATTTAATTTTGCCCTGTATTTTAAAGTACCTAGTCATGAAGGATTTTTATGTGTTCACATTTTTGTAGGTTTTTTCACTTCTATCGCATGTGAACCGACACATGTTCGTTTTTATTTTGTTTTTTAATCTTTTACAACAAACAGATTATTAATGCAACGTCATAAATGTAAACACAATGCATCATAGTCGCAAAAGTATTTCTTTTGTCTCTTATAAATAATTAATTTCAATAATTATTCTAGTCTGCCTGCCGATGAAGTAGTTATCTTTTTATATAACATATTAATTAGAAAAAAATACAATAAGAAAAACTTCTGCCACTAACATTTCTTTTTTAATATTGAATGCAATGTATTAATATTTACTATAGACAGAAGCGATAATATCCTTTATAACACTTATTTTATTTGCATTTTTGGCAAGATCCTATTTGATTTTGCAGTAATTAATGAATGGAAGAAATAGTTTAAAATGATTATTTTCTAGTTTATTTATTATCTTTAGTGCTTTAATATTATCAACCTCTGCCAGACGATAAAATCATATAAAAATTACTGCTACCAGCTCCCTAGCTGTATGGAAAACTTTCTCAGCATACGCAAATGCGTCACGATTCTCAACTTTTTTAAGGAGGAAAACGGTACCCCTAGCACGAACCATTATCGAATTCATAACGTTTGCGAGTCCGAAATGTCATTGTCAAATGTGTACTGATTTTTAGTTCCCGTTACGTCGAAAGTAGCGCTGCTGTTCAAGTTTCCATACAAAATTTGACATTGACATTTCGGTTTACAAACTATTCGAAATCGATAATGGTTCGTGCTAGGGGTACAGTACACATTTGACAATGACATTTCGGACTCGCATACTATTCGAATTCGATAATGGTTCGTGCTAAGGGTACGGTTTGTCGCAAATTTCGGGAAAACTACAACTCCTATCGAAAAATCTTAATAATGGCAAAATTCTATGTAGTAACTAAAAGATCTACACTTCAACCTTTGTAGTATATTATATTTTTTAAACATTTAATTACTTACTAGATGTTTAAAACTAAAAAAAAATACTAGAAAAAGATCCACTCGCTCCAGGAAGCGGACGGGACTTAAACTCACACCATCCGCTATCTGGTGGATATACTGACCAATTAATTATGCTACCGCGACCTTATTGGCCGTGACAAATTTCTTCTAATATTTCTTAGGCTGCAACCTTTGTGTTTACTTACACTTTTTAGTATTTTTTTTATAAAAATCCAGATGGTTATTTAGATTTTTTCGTTAGCAGATAAAGTTTTTCTGTAAATCGCGATAAACCGTTTCCCCCCTTAAAAGTTCAATTTCCACCCCGATCTCAAATTACCAGTACTTTATTTTTCCTCTTTTTTCAATGCGTTCCCTTCTTATTATTTATTAAGGCAGGTATCTACTTATCTACATTATACGCCATTGCTCCTTAGTACTCGAATCACAGATTTTTTTTCGTTTTATCTCGAGAACATCGTACGTACCTACCTACTCTTTTAGTACTGTAAGACCAGTTCTGGAAGATCCCGTTGTGCATTTAATAAATGACTGATTCGTAAAGAATCTGCAAAGATAAGAAAGTAACATTATGCAGTTACTCAGACACGACAAGACCCAAAACGAATTTATTATTTAACGATTGAAATATTTTTATTCTGCAGAACAAGGAAGCACATTAGCTATGAAAATGCTGTTAATATAACGTTTGAATTTGAAAACCTAATAACTGCGATAAAAAACCCTAAAGTCTTTTAGGGTTTAATACCTTAACATGTTAAAAAGACATATAAATATGACAAAATTATAAACTTCCATAAAAGTATAAGGAGGATTGTAAAAAAAATATTTTCTTGGAATAGATTAGGTAAGTTACCAGCTGCTGGTAACGACGACGAACGTTATTTTTTGCCATATCTGAGAATTTGTATCTGACAGTAATTGTAAGGCATACAGGGAACATTAGCTATCTTTAACCATGAATAAGATGCCAGAAAATAACGCATCTCATCCCAATCCGCTGATTAGTACCGCCACTCCCGCCTGGTGCCTTTGGGGCTGGAGTCAGACGGGGGCAGTAATAATTTGGACTTAACCAGACAATGGTTGGAACTTCCGAGGGGAGTTGAAACTGACACTTGGTATCGGTCTGGTTCAGGCGTCAGCAGAAAGTCCAGATAATTAGCGGTGTGGTGCACAACAGCAGGTACACGAGTCGCTTGGTCTACCAGCTGGGAAAGGTTCATTGGCAGAGCAAGCTTGTAAGCCTCTCTACCAGCATGGTCAGTTCTCTGGTGTGGGAATAAACCTCTGTTCTTGTAGGGGAATTAAAATCCCCCTGAAAAACGATTTGAGCAGTCGGATACTTGAACTGAACTTCATAAGCCGCCCCACTTAGGTGATCGAAGAACCTTGTTGTATCCTGATCTCCGCTATGCGATCAGTCTGTATTCACCAACGTTAACTATTTTTTCGATGCTGTTAGGGTACTTAGGCGCTCTTCTGTACTTGTAATGTAATTTACCTGTTAGGGAATTAAAGGGTAGGTAGGACAGGACATGAAGGGGGCGCATATTCATAGTTAGCCTAGGGCGGTTAGAACTCTACATCAGGCACTGCTAACGCCACCGAGGTCCTCCAACTTGACCTCAACTATGTATTATGGGTAAAGTCAAGTTGAGATAGAAGTACACCCTATTAAAGTCAAAGATTTGGTGATGGTAAATGTATCAAACGTAGGCAGTCTTACCAAATCACATTAAAATTGTGAGTGTTTAGTTAACACACATAATAAATTACTCTCGTATTTTACATTCTGCTAGTAATTCTGCGATTATGATATAAAAAAAAGCGCGACCACTCTTTGGGTACAATATTTAGATATTTTATGTGTAGATTTTTTTCTATGTAAGTAGATATAATATTGTAGAAAAAAACCGTTACATACGAAACAGTAGAAAATAAACACTTTATATTCGAAAAACATAGCAGCGTTCAATGTGATTTGAGTACGTTTAATCTAAATCTAATCACGATTGCGCCTTGTATTATCTACCCGACGGTGTGGTCTAAGTTGGAGCACTTCAATGCTTATTGGCCCTATACGCTTGCCTTAAAAATCTCTTGTTGGTGTATGTGAAGTTCCTCGATTACTCGTAGACCAATCGTAGGTTTCTGAATCGTTTATACATTACCTAGGCTTTGCCTATGCATGTACTATTGGCACAAGCATAAAATGGAAAAATATAAATCATAATACTTATTTCATACATTGCCTAGAGGTTTTCCAGGTTGCCAGGTTGCCCGGGCATTCTTTACAATTCCTAGGTATTATATAGAATATCTGAATTATACAGATTACCGGTGACACCCCGGCAAACTTCTTGAGCATTAAGCATAGATAAGGAGGCTTGCGCAGTAGGAATTTTACATACAAAAACATCTACTGAGCAGGTTTGTCTGTGGTTTTGCTTAAGAAGTTTGCCGCTACCTATACTTACCCAAGATCAAGACTTAGAAAAGTTCAATTCGACGTTTAAAATTAAACAACATTGATAAATAACCAGCACACTTTTTAATGGTACAGGTTATTATAAATAGTTATGAACTAGTTACAGCCTAAAAAACAATATATTTTATAATAAGCATTGACTATTATTATCAAAGAAAAATTCCCACTAAGGTTTAGTATGAACATACCTATAAAACATATTATGAAAAGCATATTGTAAGTCTAAATACTTACACACTTAAGGTGGTATCACAACAAAAACAGATAAGTAATAACATTATAGATGTTTTAATCAGCCTTTATTGGTTCATTACACCATCTCAAACTGGCTTTCGATCAGTCTTTTATAAAGAAACTATTTCTTTTCGCCCGTGAAATACGATTGAAAGTTAACGTCTTTCAATATTCTTCAATATTATCATTACTTATCCCTTCGTCTATGCAAGTGGATGATTTCTACCAGGGGTTAAAAAAATATCCTATTTTGCGATTTATCATATCTAGTATTGGTTTTTAATTTACACATCGAATATATAGATAAGTTTGTAGAGAAACTATTCAGGATTGATTTAAGACATAAATTAAGAATAATAAATTGAAAATCGACGGAAAATCTTTTTGATTTTCCGGCTGTGAGAAACAAAGTAGATGGCTACACAAACTAGGGGATGGCAATGATAATGTTGGTCCACGCCAAGCGACGATGGGTATGACACTGAAATGAAATATGTCCGTTTACATAAGTAAAAGATCGCTTACACATAATCTCATGCAGAAAATATAAAGACGAGATAGCCTAAGCTGAAGACACTGTGATTCTCAAATGTGTGCTGTATGTGTGGAAGCACCTGCATAAATGCGGAAATAAACTGTAGGTTTTACTACTGATCAGTTATAAAGAATCGTACAAATACCATTACAAAAAAAGCTTAACGTAAGAACCCTTTTGTTTAAATATTAAATAATACTGACTCGAGAACATCAGACAAAATCAGTGAAATATATATTTACAATCAACTATACTAAATAAAAAGAAGTACAAACTTCATGTTACAATTGTTATACTTTGTTTAAAATAAAATCAATACAGTTTTGGGTTAGTATATCTTCTTAGTAAAACAGCGTTAAAAGCTTTTTATTTAAACTACCTAAATAGAATTATACTCTTCATCGATTTCTTTCCAACAAACCGAGCGTAATCCATGAGTTCTTCGATATTTTCATTTTTCTTGTTATATTTTCTTTTGTAGATTTTATATAGCATTACCGCTTCTTTGTGCCAAATGGGCATGTAATTCAAATCTGTCTCATTGGGTAGGTTCTCGTCAATACTGTCTACGTCGGGATTCAGTCTCGAGTAAGGAGAAATTTCTAGTTTAGGTATGCATTCCGATAATAGAAACCATTTGTAGGTCTCTGGACATAGTAAGTCTGACGGGAAGAAGTTGCCTTTGTACCTCATTTTCTTACACGAATGTATGTAATACCCCATGTAGTAATACTGAAGTTCTGGCGTAGATTTGTTCAAATACCTCGTGAACTCAATCTCTCTGTAACAAATCACAGAAATGTTTAAAGGACTACACACATAATACATTGAATCCAGTGAAAACGCGCCGATACCGTTCAGAATGACAGATAGAAGTTATTTTTTTTTTTAATTTTTAATGGCAGAAAACCCCTAAAAATTGAGCAGAATTTGAATTTTGCTCCATTTTTAAGTTCATTTAGGCAGAATCGTAGAAGTAGCGGACAAACCCACTTGGGCAGTACGTCGATAACGTCCACCGCGATTATGTTTTCGTCCAGCCAATTACAAAGATATATGGTTGATAATAAATATCAACCTTACGTCAATATAAGTGCCGAGTGTAGAATTCGTATAAGCCGGATTGTAGAAGTAGACTAAAGAAACACACTTGGGCAGTAAGTCGATAACGCCCAGCGCGATAATGTTGCCGTTCAACCAGTATTGCTGGTGGACCGAACAAAATCGTGCCCTAAACATGTCCAAAAGGTACATTGGACGATCCACGGCGCTCCGTAAGATAAACATTGAAAGTCACCTTTAATGCGTACTGTATAAGGTCTTAATTAAAAGGCAAATTTTACGACTTATTGCTATATGTGGAAGAATATAGACCTTAGAATATTGACCTTATACCTTGACTCTAGGCGCAATTCTGAATGCGCTGTTGGCAATATAGCAGGTACGGAGCGCGAGGAAAAGAGACGGTTATATTACCGATCATGCATTTGAATATCACAAGTATTTTCTCTTAAATCAGTTTATAGTAAGTATTAGAACAAAATTTGCTTCGATGTGTTAAATTAACAAACATTGATTAAATACCTGTCGAAAAAACAACACTTTACATGCCTACGATAAGTATTTTTTTCGCATTTTTTTACGGAGCTCTGCGGCAACTTGACTTTTCAACGGTTCGCGAGTGACTGTGACCCAAGAAGTGTTTGAGTCGTGTTCAAGCACTTCTTGATTGGGACACATTTCCAGTGCAAGTTGTATCTAGGGTATTTTATATCGTTGGTGGAACGGTTTCTCCTAAATTGACAAATAGAAAGAAATATAAGATAATAAAAATCAACCGTACCTCAAAGCACCATAAGTGCCGAGTGTCAAATTCATAAAAGCAGGGTCGTAGAAAAAGTAGACTGAAGAAACACACTTGGGCAGTATGTCGATGACGCCCACTGCGATGATGTTGCCGTCTAACCAGTACTGCTGGTGGAACGAGCCGTATCCGCATGTTGGTCCTTCGTCTCTGTACTCTTCCTGATGATGAGACCATTATCTTCATTTAAAATGGCATAATGTAAATAAAAATGAATCACCGAAATGTACGTATGTACGATGTATTGAAGAAAGTCAATGTGTAGAAAAAATATATTATTGCAATGATTTGGTGTTTTTATTTATACAATAAGTGCTTTGACTGCTAACTTTGGGATCTAAGGAATCAGAATATAAGGTTCAGGGGCCCAATTCTCGCGGCATAGATATTATATCACCTTCGATATATATCGAATGATCTGGCTTTTATCGAAGGAAAACCCTTTTGCCCTATTCTCACCATGTCGCAATAGATATTTATCTACGGATGATCAGTAGACATACATCGACTGGTAAAGAGCCTTCGATATATAAATATCTATGGATCTTGGCATGTCAATCTTGTTATTTCCACTTTTTTTACCTATTATTTATTGTGTTGTCGTGTGTCTTTGCCAATTATTATTACCTCAAGATGTTGTTAACTGCCTTCATAAATAATTAGTAAATAAAGAAGTAGGTAAACAATGGTGTCGATTCTGGCGTGATTCTCTAAACTTAAAACTAAATTTATTATCAGTCTCTCTTTTTCATTCTGTATAGAGAATGACAAGGAAACACTGTTGTCAAGATTAAGTTTAGATTTAGAGAATCGTGCCAGAATCGACACCAGTTTATATTAACGATGGATGAGTTGATTCATGTTTTCGTCAATGATTTAATAAATGACGTGATTGCTGCTGCTGTGCTAAGGCGCCGCCGTTGTGAGAGCAAGAGGGCCCATTTGAAATGAGGGACGCGGACTTCATAAAAAAAATACGTTTAAACAAAAATTTCGTTAGAAATCTTTAAAGTTATGAATGACATTGGTATCGATTCTGACAAGATTCTCTAAACTTAAAACTAAATTTAACATCAGTCTCTCCTTTTCATTCTGTATGGAGAATGACAAGGATACACTGTTGTCAAATTTACGTTTAGGTTTAGAGAACCATGCCAGAATCGACACCATTTTCTTATTGACGATACGGAGTTTTGGCGGGATTTCTGCGAGTGCGGTTGGCATCTTATTTTAATTATTCTAAAATTCGTTCATAGTGAATATTGTGAAATAAAATTGGTGTGATTTGGTGTTACAACCGTCTGCGCAACTAAAGAATTAGTGGAATCTTTAAAATATACGCTATTCCGGTCAAGTGGTCGCGAGAACTTTATTGTAGTGTTGACTACCTCACAGAAGCTTAGAGAAAAACCATCTCCATAAATTTCGTGCCAAACACTCCAAGAAAGATTAGAATGCGTCACACCGACATTCGAATGTAATAAAAAGAAGATTAATATAACTAAAGACTAGGCTTTATGGGCATTGTTCCCTTTGCCTTCCCTGAAAAGGGAGAATTTTAAATAATATTGACGTTTCATTATACATAACGTTGAAATTATATACGCATACAATTTAGGTAAAGTTGAGATTTCTTATACTCAAAAAATGTATACACATATTTAATATGAATGGAATTCATAAAATATCATTTTGTTGCTTGTAAAATTCTGCTCTAATTTATTATTATTTTATATAGACTATGATGTTAACTTAATCGAGAAAAACGGAACGCATTCGGCAGTGAAAGAATATCTACGATAGATATAATATCATTGGAATATCGAAAATCCACGAGAATAGCATTTTTTACCATCAGTAGATATTTTCAATAGATATCCCTACTTTCGATATTATCTCGAAGCCGATATAATATCTACGCCGCGAGAATTGGGCCCCAGGACCTTATATTCTGATTCTCACAGCTTAAATCTAAACAGGCAAGAAATTTCAAAAACAAAAAGATTTCGTTTTAATACTTGGTCCATGTTATACTTAGTTTATGGCTCTACCTTGATATTTACTTTAACATAGCAAACCTATTTTACTCAGTAAAAATGTATCTTATTACTAGTGTTTTTTTAACGTTGGTTCATATTTTCAGAGAGAACTTGCTACAAACTTATAACTAACTCAATATATGTAATATAAAGTTCAGATAGTGTACGGTCGCAGGGCAGATATAATTTCGTTTTGTATAAGGATGGGTAGTGTGGGGTCATTGTACGAAATTATCTCTGCTTGGCGACCATACTTTATATATACATATTAGAAAATATTAATACTCACAATTAATGGACTTTGGACTAGAAAGTCTCTGAATTTTGGTTCTGTACATTTTTCGATTTTGTCATTATGTATCACTGTTTGATATTTAACATAAACTCTATGCGTCTCTTTTGCTGTTGCTATGAATTCAGGACTCGGTGGATTCGTGCGAACTAGTTTTATCTGAAACATGACATTTATAAGCACAGATAATTGTTATAGTTCAACAAATTAAAAAAAAACTACAAAGCAAACTAGATAGTTTACAACTATCAAAAACTTAAATCTAATAGTTTGGGTTTAATTTTCTGAGTTGATATACTAGAATTTAATATCGCACACAAATAATATAATAGTCAGAAGTTGGACTCGATTTACAATTTGTTTTAAATGGAAAAATGAATCAAATAATACACTATAAATACAAACCTCTAACTTATGTCTAACATCCTTTGGCAAGTCATTTATAAATTCTTCCAATTGCTTTTCCTTATTTTTAGATTGATTCGTCAGATTAGTAACATCAACACCTTTTTCCTTCAGTTTTTGTAACTTCCTCTCGAGCCTCAATTGTTTGGCCTTTTTGCATGGTGGCTTAGAAGGATCTTGTCCTACATCTATTTCATTTAAATATGATTAAAATAAATAGGTGAGTTGTAGACAACATCAACAAAATTTAAGTGTAAAATAATTCAGTTATAAATGTCCTAATAGTTTAACAAAGTGTAACATTTTAATAATGATGATTTTTTGATAAAGTTCACTGTTACAGGACTTTGAAGTGCATTTGAGTTCAATGACCACAATCTTTTATAAAACAATCATAGCATGCTTTAAAATAAGATAATTGCTATATAAATTGAATTTTGCTCCCTAGCACATCAGTTATCAATATATGACTAAAAAAATTGTGTGTGTCAGCTCCGACGCACGACTGGAGTTTACTCCTTAAGTTCGATAGTCTAGCCAGACACAAAAAGAGTATATTTAACTTAAAAAAGATTGATACTGTATGAAAGGGTAAATTAACAAATTAATGAAAATAATATACATATATAAATATATATTTATTCATTTCATATACCTACATTTATTATAACTAATCGACAAAATATTTTACATTAAACTTTTTACAATAGTAAATTTCAGATGTGCATATATATATCATTAGGAATGGTGATAAATTATGTAATTATTATTATCAGACTATTTTCATTTTTTTAAATATTAATTAAATCAGTTTGTCCTTGGTGGGCGATTATGTATACGCCATTTGTACATTTAAAATTTTAGTTCATATGTATCAAAATAGATGGCGCTGTAGTTCGTTGCATCACGCTTGTAAATATGTTTGGAGCTACATATAGGCAAAACGTCACCTAACTAATAAAGAAATCTATGGTCTAACAAAATACACTGTAGTTTCAATTTAATTCTTTTTCACCTAAGCTCTCGGATTTAAGAGTCATTTTGGCTCGAACAGGATGCGCACCAAAAACGTAACGAGGTCATTCATCAATAGATTTCACTCCTCACATTTTTCTCATACCGGGCCCCTTATATATGCAAATCAATTCTTAAGGAGTAAATTCCAAAAACAAGTTTTTGTAAGAATAATTGTAAATGAATAATTTATATTATCAATTATTCAAAGATAAATATCATGCTACATATCATGATGTATAATCATAAAACCCTGATATATATATATTATACACTCGGAGGCATAATTAACCGCCCATCCGGCAAAAGTGGCATAACTTTCGTTTACAATAACGAAACTCTTATAACGTTGAATGACAATTTGTTAAGTGGGTAGTTTATGATAAAATGAGAGAATTATTACCCTTTTTTAAAAGATACCCTCAAGTGTGGGTCACTTTTATTGAGTTCAGTCGAATATTGATTTTCGAACTGATTGTTTTGCGCGTACATAAAGTGTTGCTTGTGAAGTTTTTAAACAAATTTCTTTGTTCTTAAGTTGTGGCAGAGTTTTTTATTTGCTTCTTACTCAGTAAAATGCCATTGGGTGCAGTTGTTTCAGCTAGAGCGGTGGCGCTTTCTGATGCTGGGTGTAGCCAGCGTAGTATAGGCCGTATGCTGGGATTACCTCGAACCACGATACGAGATGCCATCCGACGATACCATGAAACTACATCTTACTCCAGAAGACCCGGACAAGGTCGAACAAGGTGCACTTCTGAGAGAGATGACCGCTTCACTATATCCAATGTTTTAAGAAATCGCTTCACTACGGCTCCTGAAGCTCGTAATCGCCTATTTGAGGTACGAAATATAGGTGTTAGCGTTTGAATAATAAGAAGAAGGCTTGCAGAGCGTAATTTGACTTGTTTCCGGCCGGCTCGAGTACCCGCGTTGACCACAGAGCACCACAGAGCTAGACTTCGATTTGCTCAACAATACCCAGATTGGACAATGGAGCAATGGAAGAACGTTCTCTTCTCTGATTAGTTGAGAGTAGCTTTAAGAGGTCTTGATGGTCGCCAGCGAGTGTATCGACGGCCGGATGAGCGGTTTGCACAGTGTGCTGTAGTCGAAACAGTGGGCTACCAAGGTGGCTCAGTAATGGTATGGGGTGGATTTTTTTATGAGGCTCGTACAGAGTTGGTTTTGTTTGGAAGAGGCAGCGTAAATGCTCAGAGGTATGTGGAAGAGGTCTTAGAACCTCATGTTATCACTTTTGCCCCATTTATTGGAGATTTTCTTTTAATGCACGACAACGCCCATGCTCACGTAGCTAGAGTGGTTACGGAGTACCTTGATGCTATGGGTATACCACGGCTACCATGGCCAGCTCGGAGCCCGGACCTAAACCCTATCGAACACATTTGGGACAATCTCAAAAGACAGGTACGAAGTCGGGTTACCGCTCCTACTCCATTAATAAGTTGAAGATTGTCTTGCTGGAGCAGTGGGAGAATATACCGCAGTCAGATATTCAAGACATTATGGATGGTCTTTCAAATCGACTGGAAGAGGTCATAAAAGCCAGAGGAGGCAATACTCATTATTAAAAGTTAGGTTTTTAATGTAAACATAAAGTTTTATCTTGTTTGTCGTCTCCTTTAATTTTGTATGCTAAACGGTAATTTCTAACTTTTTCAAAATTAAAAAAATTAAGGCAATAGCAACTGAATTATTTCACTTATATCATTTTAAATTATCCAATTTATTAGATTGTTAAGAAAAAAAGTCATTTTAAAATGTTTTTTTAAATTACACCGAAAAATATAAGTGGGTGGTTAATTGTGCCTCTGAGTGTATATACGAAACGAATATATATATATACAAAATCTGAGTACAGTAAATTAAATAGGGTTCTAGTAAATATTTAAAATTTGGTCTTCTTGTAAAAGTATTCAATAGATACATATTCTTGCTTTATTGATACTACTTAAGATTCTTAATTTAATTGAGATACCTAGTTTTAACTGAATGGCAATGTCACAAACAATAATGCACATGCCATTGTGCTTATCATCTTACCTTTTTGAGATTTTAAAGATGCTGGGCCACATTTAGATTTTGATGTACTATCTGAATATTGCTCACCTGAAACTAGTTTTCAAAATTTGTTAATATTTTTATGTTTAAATTCTTATACATCATCATCTACATCAATATAAAACACTCCCCTATGATTTAAAAACAAACTTAAAACTACTTTGTTTATAATATTCTATTTATTACACATGTATTCTAAGCAGAACAGAATGTACTTTTGTAAATAATAGGTTATACTGTTTTTAATTACTAACAAACAATTACTAATTTTGAAGTCAAGTATATAAATGGTTAAAATAAAATATTATATTATTTTAACCATTTATATACTAGATGTTTAATTTTATAAAAAAATAAGAAAACAAATTAACAATGAAACTTAATTTTAATTAATTTTTAGAAAAAAAAACACTCTGTCCAGTCTGAAACATGGAACAAATATTTTTCTTCTTCAGTCCCTTATTTTTTAAGTAAGAATATCTTGTAGAGATCTAGTTACTTATAAATATAAGTACAAAAATATTACCAATACTAGAAGATGGTTGAATTTCATCATCACATTCTTGTAATGGAGTATTCTTAATATTAGAGATATCTATATTCTGGTGCTCTCTAGCACTTTCAACATAATGTTCCCTCCCTTCTACCAATTGTTCCTCATCACTGTTACCACTACCTGTGGACATTTTTCGTCCCAAATTTTCCTTTAAACTTTCAGCTTCATTTCCTGCTATAAATTTGTTAAATCGTTTCAATGTCTTCTTTTGTGATTTTGTTGCTTTGAATTCAAGTATTCTGCACCTTGAATTTTGATAATTTATATTAATTTAAATGAGTTATAATTGGAATAGGCTTAAAAAACCTTACCATAGTTAATCAAATATTGCATTATTATTTTGATAATTATAAACGGAGTCATTCATGTTGAAACAGTCGCACAGACTGTCAATCGAAACACGGTTTGATAAATATTTCAGCGGACCGGCAACATGACCTTGGTCTATCAGTCTGTTGTCACATATGACCGAATTCTGTGCGACTGTTTTAATGTGTATGGCCCCTCTTACACTTACCTAATTGTATACATAGGACAACATGTAACATCCATAGTAGGCTTGTAACAATATTTGCCTGAGCGCCTCCAGCCACGATCTATTAAATCCTGATAGTCTTTTACAGTCATTGTGTGTGCCCACATGCCTAAACAACATACACAAATGGATACCTATTTTAAATTAAAATTAACTATGGAACTATAAAATAACACAACAACGACACAACTGCATAAAGGAAAAAGCTTTTATGGAATCCTTTAAATAAGATAGGTAGTTATCCCTTGATAGTCTATTAGATTGAAGAATAGCAAACCAAGTATAAAAATTAGAGTCTCTTGACTTTCTTTGGCACATGAGGCTTTACTAGGCCAATACATTATTATATTTTAGTAACATTTATAATCTTTTAAACTAAACCTGTTCAATTGTTATAATATAACACAGCAGTTACACACCATGGCTAAAATTAGTATTGGGACTACCGCAATAGCCGCATCTATTACCCCCATGATCAGAATAATATTCCACTATGCTGCTCATTTTGCAAAGGTACTGAAACCTGATTGATTCCGTAAAGAACTATTTTAAAGATATTTTTATTTTAAACAAAAACAATGAACTTCAACAGATATCCTTTGACACAATACCCGAGCAAGCAACTGACAGTGACAGTTTTTTTTTTCTTTTATTTTTTGTTGAAGTGCTCCCGTTTTAAGGAAGGCAAAGGGAACAATGCGCATACAGCTTAGTCTTTAATTAAGTTAATCTTCTTTTTGTTTTTACATTAGAATGTCGGTGTGACTCATTCTAATGTTTCTTGGAGTGTTTTGCACGAAATGTATCGAGTAGGCTTTTTCGATAAGCTTCTGTGAGGTAGTCAACACTACAAATAAATTCTCACGTCCACTTGACCGGAATAGCGTATATTTTAACGATTCCACTAATTCTTCAGTTACGCAGACGGTTGTTACATAAAACCACACCAATTTTATTTCACAATATCCACTATGAACGAATTTAAGAATAATTAAAATGAGACGCCAACCGCACTCGATGAAATCCCGCCAAAAACTTAGTTTTTTTTATTAATAAATTTAACGGCTTTGGACAAGTCCATACAGCCTATACATTAGTAACATTCTTGGTTAATTAAATTCCCCCATCACAACCGTGTAGTGTGTTTTGTAGCTATTCCACTTCGTCATCTGGGTGCGTCAAAGTCGGGGCATGTACCTGTATGACATTCAAAGAATATCGTTTTGATATTCTGAGTATCAGGTATGCTACCCTGGTCGACACGCTTCCGATCCGATCCGATTCCGATCAAGTTGTGAACAAGGGACTTGTAGACGATAAACCCGACACCGCCTAGGGACTGCTGTTTGCCCTCCCGGTAATATAGCAAGTTAGCGATCGGGTTGGCGATCGCAGTACAGCCAAGATATTGCAACAAGATGCTGCTGCCCGTCTTCTGTTAGCTGTGCTTCCTTAGTCGCTTTTTACGACACTCATGGGACGAGAGGGGTGATGTTATTCTAAACAGGCAAAAAATCAAAATTTACTGTAGGCAAGGATAAAACAATAATTTGTTTTGTATAAAGGGATTTAATAACTTATTAAAGGATATGACATATTTATTAATAAAGTTACAAGGTGTTCTTTATTAGTACGAAATTAAAATTCTATACTTTTAAAGGAAAATCGCAGCAAACAACTCTTATCGTATTTAACAAGTTATATGCTGTTTTTTTTTAAAGTTAAATGTTGATCAATTACTACATGAAAGTGGCTGTACTTCGCACCGTTATCGATAAATAATTAACTTAAACTTTTGTTTGTGATGTTTTGAAAAAAACTACTGTGAGATTTCTTCTTATTTCTGTATGTTGAGATTGAGTTCCTGAAAATAATAAATAAATTAATGCAAACACATTGCAACTGCCTAATATCTCATGGAAATTAATGAATAGTACAGATGAACGTATCAGCAGATAAATTTCCTTCCGATAACCAAACAAGACCCTCATCTTGCATCGGCATCGGCTTGCCGGGACGGAAAGGAAGAGACCCCCGGCTTGCCTATGGTTGTCGAGGATGCAGCCACAAGAGCAAAATTTTCGCTGGCAGTAAATCAAACATACGTAGGACGCAAGTTGACTCGCTTGGGTGGAACACGGTGTAAGCGGGCGTACCTAAATGTTGCTCCCTTGTCATGGGAGCCATTAAAAGGAGCCAATTCGTCTGCAGCACAGAAAATGGATACATGGCACATCACAAAAGAGGGTAGTTTTATGAAACTACAATACAAGTGATACTTTTAAAATGCTTTACATCGCTTTAATTTTTTTCTGGGAATCGAACCCAGGCTGCACGCGTAGCAGGCGAGCTTTCTGTGCTTTCTACCACTGAACTACCGATGCTTGTTGATAAGACCTGAATTTCATTCAATCATATGTGATTTTTTACCAAACCGCAGACTATGACTTCAGACAGGTGTCCAGATTATCTCCTTCCAGCCCAACCAAATCAAACACAATATCCCAGTAGTGTCAGACCTCTAATATTTTCTAAACACCCGCTAGGGATAACCTTTGAATGTATATTCCTGTTGATTAATTTGAATTTAATATGATAATCTAATGAAAGACTTACGCAGTATCTTCTTCGTCTTCTTCCGATATATGAGACATAACTGATTGCTTGGGCTTAACATTATGTTTTCGCCTAAGTATAAAAAAACAAGTTGTTTTTAATAATATATACCCATAACGCCATTACTTAGGCATTGGCACTAAGCATATCGGCAATAAGAGGGGAGGTGGGCAATGTTTGGTTCCATACAATCGTTTTCGACTGATTCCTCCTTGATTTTTATCAAATAAGAATTACTTTTTATATAAAAAAATATAATTTACTCACTCCATGCTCCTATGTCTTTTTTCGATACTTAGTTTCAAAGAAACTAGAAGCCCTCAAAAATGCCAAAAATCAACAAATTTTTATCACCACTAAAGGCGTCTAGTGTGGAAATTTAAAAGCATTTACAAAAAAAAAGGAAAACATGGAGACATTGTATAACGACAAAGTATTTTATGGGTAACATTTCTTATAAAAATATAACTAATTTGCAATTTTCAACGTTAACTACTGTTGTCCCTATCGCACGGTATTTGCCAATGCGTGATACGCATTAGTTTTTCCAACACCTATTCCTCAAATTGCGGCCGCTCTTTTGCATATAACTGCGACATATATATGACAACACAACGTAGGTATTACTTTATAATTTCAAGTAGCTAATGATTAAAAGGAATTAATCGATTGCCGTGCGTGTGTGGATAAAGTAATGCACCTATACGAAAAATCCAAAAGATTTTTGTTTACAGGCAAATAACTCTACCCCCACCTGATGTTAACTGGTGATAAAGTCCAAACGCTAAGATAGCTGGTTATAAACGGCTACACCAACCATCCTCACCCGGCCGGCCTGCAAAAATGCTTCTTCACGCCTCCCTTAAAGGAGGACCCCAGATTGGAGAGGAGAAAAATAGTGGCCACAGTAAGTCTGTGTAGTACAGTCAATCTGTAGGTTGAGTGGTGAAAAAAAAACCTAAAGGGTATGTCTTGTTTTTTCTGTTGCCAAATGACGTCAGTAAGCCACCTTGGCGATGGGCATGTTCTACTCGTAGTCGTTTTTTGAAAAACTCAAAGAAACCGTCAAAAATTTTTTGAAACGCATTTTTCTTGTTTTGTATGCATTTTAGAAACTTTTTTTTCGACCATAATTGTAGAGGGCGTTGAGTACTACAATTTATGTCATTGTTGCAATCTCATACAACAAAAAATGCGCATTGTAGGTGGCGCTAAAGTCTCAAAAAAAGTGTTTTTTCACTTTTTCACCCTGAAAATATAATTTTAATGGAAAACTTTAAATGGAAAAGTTGTTGTACGTAAGAAGTTTGTACCAACAACTTTTGTATAAACAATTTTTTTGTATTACTTACCGTTTTCAAGTTATAAATTGCGCAGGTATGAAAAATCCAATAGAGCGGTTTTGGGCAGTTCAAGTACACATTTGCAGTGCAAATTTCAATGTACGTTTTTACAATTTTTTTTTTCAATCATGAAAAAAAATTAAATAAAACTATTTTTTTTCATGTTTTACTATTTTTTTTTGTTTTTCAATCATGCAAAACAATAAAAAATAGTAAAACGTACATTGAAATGTGCACTGCAACTGTGTACTTGAACTGCCCAAAACCGCTCTATTGGATTTTTCATACCTGCGCAATTTATAACTTGAAAACGGTAAGTAATACAAAAACATTGTTTATACAAAAGTTGTTGGTACAAACTTCTTACGTACAACAACTTTTCCATTTAAAGTTTTCCATTAAAATGATATTTTCAGGGTGAAAAAGTGTAAAAACACTTTTTTTGAGACTTTAGCGCCACCTACGATGCGCATTATTTGTTGTACGAGATTGCAACAATGACATAAATTGTACTACTCAACGCCCTCTACAATTATGGTCGAAAAAAAAGTTTCTAAAATGCATACAAAACAAGAAAAATGCGTTTCAAAAATTTTTTGAAGGTTTTTTTGAGTTTTTCAAAAAACGCCTACGAGTTGAACATGCCCATCGCCAAGGTGGCTTACTAACGTCATTTGGCAACAGAAAAAACAAGACTTACCCTTTAGGTTTTTTTTCACTGAAACGTTTTTTTTTTCGACAGATTGACTGTACTAGTGGCAATGTAGGGCAGCGCGCGTGGTCCTCTGAAGAAAAGGTGATGGAGGGATAAGAGAGAATAACTCCTCAGATTTGGATGAAACAGGCATGTGTATAAAGACCATGGAAAAAGGTATTAAGGTATTAACTAGCTTGTGCCGCCGCCGGCGCCGTTTAAAATTTGTTTTTATGACACAAAGTAACCTAGACCATCTTAAAGGTCCCCTTAACGCTGGCTGAATTAATTGGGATATGAACATAAGAATTTATATACCAGAATTCATTGAGAATTTGCAATCATATTTTTTTAGTAGTTTAGGCATAAAATCGTTACAGTTAGATACCTATACAGCAGACTTACTTTCGTATTAAACTATTATTAAGGTTAGCTACTTACACAGCACTTCTGGAATTCCATGGCTGGACGTGGGTATCTCCCCATATTAGAAATACAAATCCACTTATTAACAATACTGTAGCATGAAAGCACCAGATATGCTTCCAAACAAAAGGGTAATTCTGTAAACCATCAGATTTTAGGCAATAAGTACTTAAATATTTTTAGTCGAGCTCACATTAAAATTAGAACTTACTTTATACTTATACGTTACATATCCTACGCCGAAACATAAAATTATTCCAGCTGTATTTCCAATAATTTTTATCACAGTATTGATAGAATTGACGTAAGTCGTTGTTAATTCCTAGAAAAATAATTAAACACTTTACTGTTTAAATTAATAGTATTAAATAAAGTATGGGTGACTAACGTCAATTATGATGAAATGAGACAAAGGAGGGTTTATTGTCTAACTTTAACTCTTTTCGCGACCCGTTTGAAACTGAAGTGTCACTGTGATATAACTAATCTCTTTCCGAAATAATTTAATAAAAGGGGATAGCGGAAGAATAGGTCGTTGCTGAGAGGAAATTCTAAGAAACAGTTTCCTACGAGCTTGAAATAAATTTCTTTAGTCCATTTATTTCTTACGTAATAAAACGCTTTTTGAATTGGTAGTTAATAAGAATAATGGCAGAACTCCACTTATATGTCGTATCACAATACGATTAATCTTATTAACGTGGAGTGTGTTGTGACGCATCAGCGAGCTGTCTGTTCATACATTTAGTATGGTTAAAGTGAGTCAACACATCGCGACACACAAGTATAGTTCTAACCGTACTAAATGTATCAAACCGATCGCATCACAACACAATACGACAGACAAGTATATTTCTGCCTTAAGTCTTGTGACCAGGGAGGCCTTGGATCCGAAACAGAGATGATATTAATGATCTTATTTAATGATCTTCATTAGTAAAAGGCAAAGTTTATTCGTACAATGACATAGTGTAAAAGGCAAAGTTTAAGCTATAAAAATATTTGTTTTGATAAATATAATTTGTTAATACAAAATGGGCATTTTGGAAGTAGATATCAAATAATATTTCATTTTTGATTCACTATTTTAGCGATAATGGCTTACACATTAAAACTCGATATATGGTGTCGCAGACTTTCTGAAGAACTATTTATGAGATATATTTTCACTCTACAATATATTCATGTAACTTTTATCGTTTTTGGAGTGCAGACCAAAATGGCTCGTATATTTTTTTTAGTCTTACGTGACACTTATTGTTATATTTTGACCAATTCACTCAAGTTACAACTCAACTACATACAGTTTTACTCATATGATATTATTAAGTATCAGCTATATTAGTGTAAAGTTTAATTAAAATCCATTCGGTATTTTTAGGTGAAAGAGTAACAAAGATCCATACAAACGTAAGATTTAAAAGCGCAAGTGGTTAATATACAACTTTAAATCGTTGTAGATCCTAAACAGTCATATAAGTAATATGAAAAATGGTGTATGTAACATAAACATGATTTTCTACTATCTAGACAATAATATCCCACTCGACATATTTCGTCAACTTATTTTTTTTCCTTCGTCACAATATGGCGCCTAATTGTCCCCATATTAAATTTTGATTATATAATCTTTAGTAGCACTCCCATGATTGAGACGAATCGATTGACGTATGAATCATTAAAATTGGTCTACGCGTTTGGTCTCTAGGGTGCCACAATGGAACATACATATAAAGACTGTTAAACACTATACCCTGTCTGTCGCTTGCATTGCGCAGTCGGATAAAAAGGCCGCACTGAGTGCACAAATATTAGAATAGTAAGAAAACATGTAAGCTTAAACAAATAAAAACATGGGCATTCGCTCATGGAGCATATGTATTCATTTATAAAAAAAAGAAAAGGCACAGCAGCGGTGCGGCGTTGAAAGCCGTGCATCGTCTGACGTCGTTTAAGTTCGGCAGACTTCGGTGTTTGTGTGCATGCGACTAGACGTTGTGATGTTATATTATGTTCGGTACACACGTAACGATATATCGTAGCGATTTCAGACTGTGCAGATAAATCGAACGTTCCTAGTGACTCCACACGCCTTCGATATCGGCGTCGATTGTCTGTTCGGTCTGTTCTCCGCAGAAGCTCACGCAAGAAACATGTCATCCACGATGGAAGATTATGACGCACTTGCGATACTAGGCCTAGTTATGTGTTTAAAGACAAAAAAAGCGGAGTGTGTGGTGTCGACTGGCTTCACTCTATAGCTCTCTATGAAATCTTGCATTAGTTCATGGTGTCCACCTCTTTCTTCTTCAGACATGTTGCGATATAAGAGCGATCCGCAAGTGCGCACACTTGCGAGCCTACAGCCGAACTGAGCGATCGCCATCCACACGCGACGATTAAACTGTGCAAACGCAATCGACAACGATTTATCTAATAAAAATTGCAACTGCCACCGACGAACGATAATCGACAACGATTTGTCATACACACGTTCGATAAATCTGCGCAAGTCGATTTACACAGTTTAATCGTTACGATAAATCGTTACATGTGTAGCAGGCATTATACTCCACTGCCCTCTATAATCTACCTCAGAGCGCAGGGGAAGCAATGAAAGAAAACCAAGGAATTAAAATAATGTTATAATTATATTTTACTCACTCTAAATGTCACAACGAGGCTGAATACAGTAGTTTTAAAGTAAGAGTTTATATAAATCACCCAGTTGGCATGAATCTTAGAATTATATAAACATCAGACATTCATAACAATCTACCATGTACTTACATGAGTTCTTAAACTATATCTAATATATTTTACCTACTCTGCAATGGACTGTCAATTGAGAGACCACAAAAACTAGACTTTTCCAGATAATAAGCTACTTAGTGGATTTCAGAGGTTCTACGGCTCGTTTCATCGATATTGGCGATAAACTTAGTTAATTCTAGTTCTCAGTGAGACAACCAGTTATATAGATATATATATATATATATATAGAAATGGGTAGGTCGGGGTCCAACCTCGCCTTGTGGTACCTGTGCCACGCTCACCCAGGGTTAGTTAGAGAAATACCTTGTTTAGGATAGGTTAAGCAGTGTATGATCTGTCCGCAGGGCTTGCAACCTTTATTGTAATAATCTCACGCGACCCCTCTGGTCCGTGTATAGAGAGAGAATCTCCTTGTTAATAGCTTGTTCTTCCTCCAGTACTTCTTGAGGAGAACTTATAAGCCGTTCGAGATATAAAACTATCCGTTACTTTGTTCCTCCTATCACAAGATACTGTCCAGCCTTCCAAGATTCCGGGACCATCTACCTTGTGTGAGTTTATCACCCCGAATTACAGTTCGGTTAGCGTCTCCGCGCTATTTCCGCCAATATCCTCCAGGATATAAATTCACCGACTCCGTAAATGCAGGTTCCCCCCTATAATATACTATGGGCAGAAAACAAAATTTGAATGTGCCTCGATAAATTTCGAAAATTTTAAATGTTGTTTTGACAACTCAGCATAGAGAAAAGACCACCAACTCCCAAATATGTGTCTATGATTGTTATTCTCCCTCCAACCGAAGGCAAAGGTCACAGTCAAACAGACAGCCGCTGCATTCGAGACGAGTTAACGAATAAACTCAAACCCGTATAACTATGCTCGCCGTAAGCGGAGGAAAAGAGAATACCTACCTACATCAGCGAGGAAATTCAATTTCAAATAAAATTCAGAATCGAGTAACAAAACGCCCGATTGGAGAACTCAAATCGATATGGGAAAAAATAATTCACAATTCAACAACTGTCAAACTCCATCCACTCATCCACACGCACCAACAGAGATTCACTGCCTTCTTTTCCTTTTTTTTTTATATAAGTCTCAAGTCGAGTTTTTGAGTCGAATGATAAAAAGCAACTATTCCCTCAATGCTACCAACCCAATCAATGAAGTTTGACAGCTACGCCGACGTAAGCGGTTCGCTATCATAGACAAAACAGCTGTCCTACGTGTGTCAGTTATATAAGTGTCAGTGTCACGCCCCGTTCAAAAACAAACACTACAACGTATGAGTGTAGACTAGCTGCTAACTGCTCATAACTGATTCTATCTCTTTTAGACACAATGCTAGGTGAGACAGCGTGCTTTTTGGCCGCGTCCACGAGTGAGTCCGAGCCCGCGACTAGTTGAACATTAACGTGCATGTACATGGTACGACTGTATGAAGCTCGCACGGATCCAGACGAGCTGTTCCGAAATCGGACGAATACGTATGCAGCTGTTTGTGAGAAAGTATATAGGTGTATAGGTATATAGATTTACTATATACAGCTATTCACTGTTGTACACAGATGATAGGATCTGTGTACAACAGTGAATAGCTGTACGCGTAATATTTGTGTATAAAGGGTTTATAATTACATAAGTTGATAAAAAATGCTATGTAATAGCTTTACCGTCCGTCAGTTAGTCCACGAATACCACACGTATTTTTTTCATGAATCTCGTAAGAGTAAGCATCTAAATAGAAAGTACAACTTACATAACAAAGATCGAGAGTGAGATCCATGCCCGAAGCAGTGAGTGCTACTGCTGTGGTCAATAGTATGGGACCTGGTATAACAGGCAATAGCCAGCATACCGACACTATAATACCAGGAATCACATGAGCTAGAACAAAATGAGGTTATAAAATACACAGGAAATTTCACCTCATATCAATGCAATCCGACCGATACCACGTTTTTTATCGCGCCTAACTGACAAACTTCATAATAATTTGACAATTAAGCGTGAAAAAACGTGTTATATAGAATATCCCGTGAGCATATCGTAGTGCTCATGCTAGAGGGGCTGGTGAAGGTTGCGGGAAGCCTCTGCATGCGGGTAGCGCGGGACCGATTGGTTTGGAATTCCTTGAGGGAGGTAAATGTCTAGCAGTGTGCGTCTCTTGGATAAAGTTGCCAACCGTATAATGCGATTCAACTAAGAATAGGACCGACTGGGCGCCATATTGTGATGTCATAGCTGTCAATTCAAACCAAATGGGCAGAGTGAGCAAAAAAAGTTTTTATTTAATAAAACTTATTTACTTATTTTAATAACATTTATTTACTAAGATTCAGAAATAAAAAACCACCTATTTTTAATAATCTGTATTTATTAAGACTGTGAGAAAAAAACATCAATCAGAATCTAGCTCTTCTATTCCGCTCATCTCTGCATTACCGCCGGAGTAGTTATGAATAATCATGCACTATTACTAGATCACATACGAACATGCATCTTTTATGTAAACGAAAGTTTAAAATCGAGTTTCTGGACGCAACTTAAAGTGACATTTGGTTCACGATTTAGGTTATCAACCATTCATGGCCAAATCTCAATAAGTGAAAAAAAATATCAACCGATATTAATTATCAATATTTTTTTTGATAATTAATTTTGTTTACAAATGTTTGTTATTCTTGAATTAACTATTAGGAGTGCTAAAAAAGGGTACCAGGTTTTTTTTTGCAAACCGTACTTTTCAAGCGACATTTGACAGATAGAGGTCATTGGCTTTCCTATTCTTATTTGAATCGCATTATACGAGGTTTTTCGTACAAATACGAAATTTCTGGTGTTCCTTACCAGGTACGAGAACGCTACACTACATATACGAGGTTTTATCAGATTTTATAACATGATTTTTCATTGTAGGTAACATGTTGGAGCATAAATCGTACTCTCCTGCTCTTGGCTGATATGATGAAGCATATTGTGAGTTGTCAAAAAGGCTTTGGGAGAGAATAACTACAAATGGAAATTAAATTATACATCTATTTACTATAGCTACACTATAAGATATTCTTTGAAAAAAAAAATAGTAAAATGATAGGATGCCAGCCCACTGCATGCAACAGTTTCCAGAAAAGCTCTGCTAGTCAATAATATTTATTTATTTGCACGAAAATGGTATTACTAGCTGTAGTATATTTTTTTGAATAATTTATGCTCGCACGTATAAAAAATCTAGACAGCAAAACTTACAAACGACAATAAAATATTTCCTGAAGTGTTTTATAGGCTTCATTTGCTTGTTGTGTTTGTACCAATAGTATATTTGTATAATTGCAGTTCCCATTATGAGACGTAAGAAGAATGGTAATGCCGTCAATGCAGATGCCTGTGGGTTAACATATAAATTATTTATATGATAGTTTAAGAAAAATAATAATCGTATGAGATAACTAGAAGGAACAACAATCATCGGAAGAAATACCTACATACTTAAAAGACTTACGTAGAAAACTTTAGTAACGTGAGAGCATTTAGATAAATATATTTCATAATATTTATAACGCTGTTGATTGATTAACTTATCTCTATTTAGGGAGAAAATCGAAATATATTATTATTTTAGTTATTATTTTTTTTGGTTTTTAAGCATGTAACTGCTCGATGTTTAAATCTAAAGAAAATATTACAAAAAATATTAAAATTCCACGCGGACCAGATAGCAGACGGGATATATATTTTATATTAATAGCGTGAAACCACTAAATAAATCACCAATACCTAAGTACCAGTAGGGTGCTACCCTAACCCAAAGTTCTTATGTTTAGGACTTAATTATCTACTCACCGCAAAAATTTAGACTGAATAATTATTAATTATTATTTAAAAATCATTATTTTACGACGTTTTTTACATTAATAATAATTAAATTATACAGTTGCTAATTACATGAATTACATTTTTTTAACATTACCTACCTGACTTAATATGAAAGACATCAACGCATCAGGCTAAAATAAATTACTATACACCGTGAATTTTGAGTTATATTATCTGAGAAACTTTACGTTAAAGAAGGTACATGATAGTTTCATTACTCACACTATATATACTATAATCAGCAATCTTAGAATAGTAGAAAGGTCCATGAATACATAAAGATATTAGCATCCAAGAATATCCAAAGTTCAAGATACAAAGTGCCCAGAATGGCACCGATTTCAGAATTGCCCTCCACGGAGTCTGTGAATTCGTAAGCTAAAAAATTCTTTTTTATCAGTATTAAATAACTTTATGAGAATAAAATTAGTTTTTCACGGGTTTTAATCTAGTTTTATTTAATGAGTGATGTGCGTGAAAACTTAAAAAACAAATATAACTTTATGAGACTTAATATTTTAACAATATATCTGTTGCTTAATCCTCATAAAAGATTTTTAACTTTAAATCCTATTAATATTATAAATGTGAATGTTTGTGTGCTGAACAGATTTGGGTGAAGTTTAGTACGCATTCAGTTTATGACTGGGATTTAGAGACATAGGATACTTTTTAGCCCGAAAAATTTTAGATTCTAGTGGGGTTCTCAAGAAAGCGGTCGCGGCTGGCCGCTTGTGATAAATATTTTCTTTGGCAGTAAAAATGTAGCTTTTATTAATGAAGAACGGATACTCCCTACAATAAGTAGTTGATTAAAGTTTTAGGTGTAACGTTTGAAAGCTCGATTAAACTCAAAAACATTTACCTTAATGGTAAATACAGTTCCTACAGTATTGATCAGGTAGTCAAGCTCTTCCTTAGAGATGCAAGGGTGCTTGCGAGGATAGTCAGTGACGAAGAATACCCATAATGCTGACCAGACCACCTGTAGACAGCCCACTATGTAAAAGCCTACAGGCCATTTGGAATAGTAGTGCACCGCCGCACATATCAGGAATGTTGAGCAAGTTCCCGTTGTAATACCTAATGAAATTTCTTCTCTTTTATAAAACTTAGAATTTCAACAAAAAGTAAAATTATGAACTCTAAATTAAAATGTCTAAATATTTGACGTCGGACTGAGAGTAAAAGAAAATATAGAATGCTCTAGCTGCAAAAATATTTATCGTATCACAAATAACCGCAATGGCTAAACCCAAACAATACCATAATATGTACATTTTTTCAACCAAATTTCCCCAGTCTACATGATGTAAAGCAAAGCCGGCGATACTCAAAGTCAGCGTAGCCAAATTAAGACAGATTATATGCTGTGTAAAGTGCACATCATACACCAAACAACCACATGCTCATAGCAAGATACAGCCTTGAAAATAAAATATATCTCTTTCGAAGGAGGACGTTAAAAAAAAAATTCCTATACTTATATTTAAAAATTTCTTTCGGTGATTTGCTTACCACAATATGCCCATATGAAGTGATTCCTCTCTATGGGAGGCACCCAATGCCTCAGCACTTGTACCATGCTAGGTTGCATAGCGCCCTGTTAAGAAAAAAAACTGGAATCCATCCTAGATAGGTAGTCAACGTGAGCGAGAACGGGAAAATTTGCTATATTTTTGGCAATACGAGAGGTATAACAAATATATACCAAGGATAAAATATCAATAAAAATTATAAATATTAGGTAATATTATTTTATCTAGCACAAATAAAATAGAAAAATGCCTTTATTTCAGCAGTTCCTCCAATGAGTGTTCTACCAAACATGACTGTAATCCCGATAAAGACATTCATTTATTTTGTCATAAATGCAAATACGATAATTATTCATTAGGTTATTTAATGGTATCCATAGTGCAGAACTACTAAAATTCGTACTACTCAATCGTGTAAATTATCATCCATGTATTTACTGTGCTATTACTTAATTACCCATAATATTTATAAAGTATGACAAAATACTAACTGCACAAAACCCTTTAATTGTGCGCACAAAGAACACCGCCCAGAAATTGTAATAAGCCGATGCGGGTGTTAAACAGTTGAGAACTCCAGAGGTCATTCCAGCAATCCCCACCACCCACGTCGGACCTAATCTAGAAAAAAGATTGAATATAATTCGACCATAGTAGATTAAAAGAGAGAGAAATTTACCAATAGGCCATGACTTTTGGTCGCGTCCAATTCGAGCCTGTCAGACCTGGAGAAGGAATGTTACGCAAACCTTCCAAAAGACTGATGATTTGGATGCGAACGCAAAAGTTATGGACGAACGTGATTTGTTTTAGCTGCCCTAGAGGTTTGACCCTATATAAACAGCTCAGGTATGGTGGGAGTACTTCACAAGGTGCAAGGTTGGCTCCCTTATACTATTCTGACGCGCTCGAGTAAATTCGAAAATCCGCACTCACAATCCTCCCTTTAAACAATACTTATCAGATTGTTGTCGTACAGACACTTTACATTCTATATATCCACTAGCGGCCGCCCGTGACTTCTTCCGCGTTAACTTTGGGAATCCCACAGGAACCTTACATTTTCCGGGATTGAAAATATCTTATGTCACAATCCAGGACATAAACTATATAACCCTTATTAATAAACAAGGAATAAGCTTAGACTAGTTAAGCCGTGTTTTGTTCATATCACTCAAATGCCATTTGGCATTCAATGAACAGAGACAAAACATAGAGTAACTAATCCAAGCTTTATCTTCGTTTATTAATAAAGGGGTATGCGTATTAATTTCATCCAAATCCCTTCAGTAGTTTTTGCGTGACTGAGTAACAGTAGGATCAGCTGTTGTCACCTGAAGAGCAAACTACCAATAATTACTTTTTACTACAACAATTAAATAAATGAATCACTTGCATCGACGATTTAAAATAAAATTAAATCTTAATTCAGTTATGAAGATCTGTGTCTCCATCAACTTTTTTGAAGTCAGCGCCACAGTGACAGCTTTAAATAAAATATCATTTTAGAGAGGATACTCCCCTCGTTAACTGTACTAGGGTAAAAATAGAAGAATTTTAAGTTTTTCATTACCTGTCTCCAAGATTGTGAAATATAGGGAAACAAATACAATATCCAATGTGATAAGCAGAAAATAACTTTGCCATTTTCATATCGTCCCAGTTGATCATGTCTGTTATTGATAGAGTCTAAACAGGATTTAAGTTCTGATATAACTATCTTTAATGTCTTGCGTTTTTTCAATTCTATCCCGGGAGTGTAAGAAAAACATTGATTGCACCAGCTGCCAACTTTCCCTCGTATCATCGCAGCAGTTTATCATTGAGGGAACGAATCGCTATATCATTTCTTATTCGTATGGGGGCCCATTACTTAAATTTAGATAAGTAACACACTACACTACATAACATAACCAGGTAAAAGCATATTTACGCAATTTTATTAATACTTAGAGACAAAAAATGGTAATATTATTGGGCTCTCACCGAAACACTTTGTTTTCTTTTAATATTCGTATAGTTTTGCATTAGTAAGTCTTTTTTTGATATAAAGACCATTTCAACAATATGCACGCTAATATTGTAACGGACCACGAATGTCAAGAAATATCCTAAGAAAATCACAATGCCCACCTGCAACAGAAGTAACATACAATAATTCAGAATGATTACATTTGTTAAAAACAAAATTTAGTTTGTCCTTTTTCTTTACACTCACTAGGATTCTGACCCTTATTTTGAACATTGCCACAAGTTATAGAGTAAAATTTATAAAAACGCCAATTAAGCGTGGCCACCGCGATATTTTTGCTTGCGGGTTAATGAGACTGAGAATAGATGGTAAACCGTTTTTTAGGGTTCCCAAAGTGTAAAGGGCCGTCCATTAATCACGTGATGTTTTTTTGGCATTTTTTTAATTTCAAGGGGACACATGGTGAGGTTAAAGACTACCCCCAAATATCACGTGTGTTTTTAAGTACCTACAAAATATTTATAAAATACAGGTATAAGTATGATCTTACTTTGGAAAACTGTACTAAAAACTTTTCTGTACTAATACATAAACATTATTTAATGTACAGTATCTTCGGACCCTTCTTGCGCAAGTCCGTCTCGCACTTGGCCGTTTTTATATCGTTATCCACACTCCACGGGGTAGGCCAGGGAAATAAATTTCTGTGTGGTAGAGGATTTCGGTATTGCAAGTGTCTATAGGCTATGGTGGCCGCTAAGGCTAAACTGTACTTCCAGGGCCCAAGCGGTGATACTTCACACAAGGTTAGGTTAAGTTAGTGTTGTGACCATAACGCGCGAGCCGAGCGAGCAAAGCGAGCGTGCCGCGGCAGCGGCCGGCGAAGCGCCAGAAAAAAAAACTCTGTTAAAAGAGACCGTTTCTACAAAAAACTTTCAAGTATCAGCTCTTGGGCCCTGGAAGTACCGCCGCTAATCATAAGGCGGCCTGTATGCTTCTTTGCCATCCATAATAAAAGCAATTTCATTTTGATTTTGTATGTACCTACCTTTAGTTTCACGCAAAGAAGTAGAAGAGAGAGAATTTATTTTTTTAATGTATCCGGATGAGAAGAGGTAGGGTACAGTAGATTTTCCGCTCGTAATAAAGCGCCCGTCTGGGGTAGTAACTTTCCACCTTAAAGACTTCCAACACACAAAACTGTACAGCACTATTTTTGGTGGTGTCTTTTCTGTTGATGAGTAAGGTTTCTAGGCTACCGCAGATTAGGTTCTGGCCGGTTAGATGAGGAGGATGAGGTTCACCACTCATTAAATGAAACCCGCTCAAACGGGTTCAAAATGCGTAATTTTCTAATGTTTTTTGTCGTTTTGTATACTTTTTAGCCTGCGCCATCAGAATTATGACTTTATTTACTTTTGACGAGCTACCTTCGAAAGACTTTTATTGGACGTTCAGATACTTCATTGAAAGATTATTGAAATTTTATTTGCTATGTATGAATTTATTAGCTAATATAATTTAATTAATAAACTAATTTATTAATTCATAGTGGCGTGGTCAATTTAACTGGGTCTTATGCACCTCGCACAGTGGGCCACGGCCTGTGGTTGCAACAACCAGTTTAACTAAAGTTGGCCGCTGCGGCCAAGTGCGCGCCGCTCGTATGATTTCTTTAGTTAATCAGGGGGCCATTCGCCTAACGGAAATGCTTTGGAAAACGCTAACGCTTACGATTTTATTTGGTATATCTAGCCGCCTGAGGTTTTCAAATGCCCCGCGCTCTTTTTTTTCTTTTGCATTGGTAATAACAATATTAAAAAAATGAGCGTGAGGTATTTGAAAACCTTCGGCAGCCAGAAATAACACAATAAAATCGAAAGCGTTAGCATTTTCCAAAGCATTTCCGTTAGGCGAATGGCCCCCTGATCGTTGCGGCCAGTGGCCTTGGTGGTGACGAGGGTATAGTATTTTCGAAGCTGTTACCTCTAAAAATATAGTAGATGACAAAACTGGAATAAAAAATAGTATGTGGTGCAAATATTTACTTTTATTTTTGAAATGAGTATATTTTTGCTGCTCCATAATACTCCGTAATAGTTCAGTTTTTATTTTAAGAAAGCTTTTACTGGCAAAAGTCTGCTTTAAGCAAAATATAGTAGTTTCGCCTACTATATATATTTTTTTAGAAATGTAGTATTTGATCCCCTAATATAGTAGGAGACTGGTGTCGATTCTAGCGTGATTCTCTAAATTTAACATCAGTCTCTCCTTTTCATTCTGTATAGAGAATGACGGGGATGCACTGCTGTCAAATTTAAGTTTAGCTTTAGAGAACGACGACATCATAGCTGTCGATGCTGGCATGATTCTCTAAAGCTAAACTTAAATTTGACAACAGTGCATCCTTATATTCTCTATACAGAATGAAAAGGAGAGACTGATGTTAAATTTAGTTTTAAGTTTAGAAAATCACGCCAGGATCGACACCACTATATTATATAATAGGGTTGGCAACCTTAGTGGTGACTGTCAAGTGCACGCGGTGCCTTATACTTATATAATTTTTCATCTTTATGTACAATTTAGTAATCCATAAGCTAAAATAAAGATAGGTATAATAGGGCCGCGTTAAATCAAACCACCATTTATTTAATGTTTATAATTTAATAACACTATTCATTAAATTTCCGAATCTTTGAGCACAGAGTTGATAATGACTAAATAAATTTATCTAATATTCACGCTTTTCATATAATCAAAAACTCGTGAAAAATAAGAACGAGTGCGGAAGCTTGATTTTTCCTTAAATATTCATTTGATACGAGTTCCTTGAACTTTGATTTTGACATAAGTAAATATTTATTTTGCTGACAGTTAAAATATAACATTATTAATAGTACCTTTATTTAAAGGCGTTGTGTTAAGAAGTTAAATTATAAAAAAGAGTACCTACGTTGAAATAATAAAGAATGCAAGGAAACTTAAATATTTGTATAGCAAACAGCGTGGATAGGTACTATAATTTTGTCTACGTGAGTTGACTTCATAGTTTAGGTACGCCAGTCTAGTAATTTATATTTTATAACATATTATTAATATAAAGGATAAGTTACTTTTAGTTCCTTTATTACCTTATACTAAATATTATTTATAATCATTAAATTTAAATGAATCATTTAGTACTTTGTTTAATTCGACTCATTCCAAACAAATATGTATAATATCATGACACACATAGCAATGTTAAGGCACATCCAAAATCTATTTATAATTAATACTGATTATAGGAGTTCAAAAAATATAATCGTAATACGGTCAATAAATTATCAGCGGGTCTACCGCCTATCGGGGCTATTGCTATAGCTTATGATTTCAGTTTTGTTATTTCTGACCGCCAAAGGTTTTCAAAGACCTCGCGCTCATTTTCCTTAATATTGTTATTACTAATGCAAAAAGAGAACGAGGTGTTAGCGAATTATCGGCGGGCAGAAATAACATAATAAAATCATAATATAAAGCAATAGTCAAAGCCCCCATGTCACAAAAACTATCGAACTTTGGACCGGACGTCAAAGTATGAAAGTCGATTGGGTTTTTTACAGATTTGTATAACCAAGTGTCGTTGTGCGTACAATACCTACCTAGATCATTTATAATCTGTTACAAACGAATTTAGACCAAAAGTAATCAAAGAGGTAGGTAAGTCTGACCATAGACAGTTTAGTGATGTGGATTCATAGAGCCTTATCAAAATCAATTGATCAATTCAATGATCATATTCTTACACTGTTAAAGATCTATATGGCTTAATTTGTAGCATTAATATTTTTTTATCGTCATTACTCAAATAAGAACTCTGGCTGTTTACTGTACTTGGCAATATAGTTAACTATATTTCGTTACATAATATAACTCCTTTCGAACGATTGGTTTGCGTGATCTAATGAATATCTAGGTTCGTAAGTAAATAAAAACTATACCATATTTACGTTTTAATTTCCAGGATGAAACAATAAGAGAAAAATTAAAATACCAAACCATCCGTAATTAAGATATAAGATAATAATAGAACCTAAAAATAAAAACAAAATACCATATTAATTGCTCATATCTGCAATAACACTAAAATTACATTCCATAAACTGTATTATTTATTATGTTACTTATCAGTTCTAACAAATAATCGATTCACTATTCGATTACTTATTACGTCAATTGAAATCATTTTGAATAGACTTTTCGATGCTATACTGTTCAACCATAGACAACAGACAATTCCCATCTTTCAAAATAACCTTACTTTTCGACTCAAGTGTTTAATTTCTTTTTTTCATACATTTATAAAGTAATAAGTGCTATAAAAGATAGTGAATTAATAAGTCAAACCCCTAGAAATGCAAATTAAATGTGTTGAGAATTCAATTTAGTGAGTGGGAATTAGGAGGTAATGTGTTTGCTTACTTTTGGTCTAAATTCGTTTGGAAGAGACTGCACTTCAGTAAAAAATATCATATAAGTAATATTCGAGAAATGTCATACTTCTTAAATATAAAGCAAATGCAAACACTACTTTGTATTTTATGATTTGGTTGTATTAAAATTATTCAGTAATGATTATTATTATAAGTCATAATTATTATCGATGCTAAATCTGTAATAGTCGTAAAATAAAAAGAGAATAAAATATAAAATAACATTACTAATGGATAAATAGTTAAAAAGAAAGTAGGTACATAATCTAAGTATTAAGTACATTATAATACCTAAAATCTCACTGACATGTCTATCTTATCACATCAAAAGAATGGTGAACAAAAAAAATACAATATTGTTTTTATAAAAGTCAAGTAGTCACACATTTTAAAACATAAGCTCAATATTTTAACATTGAATAATTTAAACTAACAATCTAAGACCCGGTGACGTAATAATGTCACAATAATCATATTTATTTAGATCTAACTTTAACGATATCACAAATTTTATATACCATCTAGCTTCAATAAATTTAGCTGGCGACATTCAAAGAAGTTTCTTTTACTTCTTTTGCATCACCTTTTCTTTCCGATGATCCGTTTATTTCCTTTAGATCACTACTTTTTTCTTTATCATCCTTCGCTTCGTTTTCTTCCTTTCCAAAATTCCAAGACTGTATGTTTCCAGTTCCAAAGAAAACGAAGAATATAGCAGAAACCACGTAGACTGACGCTCCAATGAAAAAGACGGGGCGCCATTGCTCGAAAGTATCCTGTTGTCAAATAAATAATCATTTTAAATAAAACGAACAAAAAGATTAGGTTAGGACTATAACAAACAGTTCTTTTGGAAAAGTATAAGTACGTTATATAAGAAGAGTACATATTAATTAAATTTTACCAAATAGAAAATATTGATCTAAGATATTTTTATACGCAAAACTCTTACAATTGAAATTCATACTAATATCAATTATGAGCTTACCCCACTTCTAGTGAAATATGCAGTAATCATGGGCGTGAAGAATCCAGCTGTACTGCCAACGGCGTTAGCTACTCCGTACAGAGTTCCAGCATAGTTCGGGGCAAGATCTTGATGGTTTTGCAAGTTCGTCAGGGTCGCAGCGCCATTGAAACCCATAGACAAGGTAATCAATGTTACGGACAATGCTGTCGAACAACCAGCATATACCAATAAGACTAACAAAATCCCAGGAATTATGTGTGAGAACAGACAAAAGAATTTCCTGATCGTCGTGGTAGTCATCAAACGTCTAGCTAGTATGCAATCTCCAATAGCACCGAAGATAGTGGCCATGAACAGTCTTCCCAAATAAGGTAATGCAGATATCACTCCAGCTGCTGATAATTCAAAACCCAACACGCTTGATACGAATTTGGGTCCAACTGTCATTATGAAATACAAGCCCCAAAGATTGCCATAGTGTAGGACTACCATTGCAAGAAATGGGAATGACGTTATAATACTTTTGAATGGCGGCAATCCCTAAAACAAATAAAACAATGATAATATTTTTTATTTATAAAAATCATGCGAAGCAGTATAGTGTCATGCTCAATGATGGTAATACTGTGTTGAGTATTTTCTTCACAGTTAACTGGAAATTAAGCAACGTAGCTTCTTTTCACCGGTTACTACAAAAAAGAGACTATTTTGCTTCATCAACTAAGAATTTCGAATATATCTCTATGCTGGTTTATGATTTTTTATGATGCATCTGTATCCGATATCCACACATATCATCACCGGGAACTGGCCAGGACCAGCGATTGATGGGTGATGCGAATAAAAAAAAGTGCGGAGAAGCTCGAGATAATAAAAATTTTGGTAGCCCTTTCAATAAACCACCATTGTGAAAGTTGATTAGCTTTCACAATCTCAGTAACTTAGCTAAGCTTGCACAGTTTATCTTACATGAGCTATACAACATTACAGAAAACGTACGCATTGCACCTCGCTTTAATTGACTGGTTTTATACACAATGCTTACTATATCATATAATTTTGATTGTGTTTAATTCATGTTTTATTGTAATTTCAATTAAATTTGTAAAAAATGCAAGTAAATTATAATAGTACAGTATTAGTATATAAGATAATTTCGATGCCTTTCATAGGGTTCTTGTTTGTGACTAGAATTTATCTAAGAACAAAAACGTACAACAATAATGCAATAAAATAAATAAATATAACTTGGTAATAACTTGCGATAAATCACACTACAATAACATATTTCTATGGTACTACGCGACAAACCTTTTGCAAATATTACCTTTGATTTCTTGACTTTGTCACCGAGTGCCTCTATTATATATTTTCTTTCAGCGTCACTAATCCTAGGGTGTTCTGCAGGCGCGTCAGCAACAAGATACCACCATAAAATACACCAAACAAATGTGAGTACCGCTGGTACATAGAACGCTGAAGCCCACCCGAACTTTTCCATCAAAGGTCCGGTCAAAGACCAGGTGACAACAGTTCCCAAAGTTCCACCCATCATAGCGCTCACAAACTTTCCCTTCTCTGCTGGTGGAGCCCATCTTGCTACCAACACGTGTAGTGCCGGATATATAAATCCCTAAAAACAAATATATGACTGAATGAATTCAATTAATTTAGGTTGGTAAAAGTAGTGCCACGTTTTATACCTTGACTTGTGTCTGAGTAGGTATATTAAGGTTTATACTTCGAATGCGAAGTATGGCCCTTGGCCGCTATATTGTTAATATTTTACAGAGTAAGCCGTCAGGAAGGTCGCCATGAAGTAGTTGCGAAGGTTTCATTCAGATATGCAGAAAGGTGGTTGGTGTGATCATCTCACATGTAGTCTCTATTATTAACTAGCTGGTTAATAATAGAGACTACATGTGAGATGATCACACCAACTCCCGAGCGAAGCCGGGTATCATAGCTATAATACCCGGCTTCGCTCGGGAGTTGATATGAGATTACGTGATAGTTGAAACAAAAAAATAAAATATGACGTAAAAATTTAAAACATATTCTAATTATTTACACTTCTTGTTTATAAACAACATTTTTCATTTTATTATAGCTGACTGTGAGAGAAGCAGGATTCTTTGAGGTTGATGCCACAATATTTTAAACTTTGCCCTTGCGCTTTGTTAATTGTAAAACTAAAGGCTAATTTAATCGGAAAGTGCAATCTTTTAAATTGAAATGGCAATTCAGAAGAGATCAGTGGACCTTGAAGTTCAAATACCCGACAACAGATGGCGCCACTACACTTAATTTTCAAGTTAAAGGGTTGGACAAGCCCTTATATCTTTAAAAACACGCCCTTTAGGTTAAAACAGGAACATTCTTGTTCGAGGGGGGATAAAGGGTTATCACTCTATATAAGTCCCTTTATCGTGCCGGTACTCCTTTTTAAGTTTTATCGGCACGCACATTTTATCAACTTACTTTAATTATATATAATGATAATGATTTACTCCTTGGTCTCTACCGGACTAACTTATCTGTAATCCATTCGCATTTAGCATTGGGCACAATGAAGTAATTATCAGACATTTTTTAGAAAAACAAAAATACTTACAGAAATCTTTAGATAAATTCCTATTTTTATGTGTCAATCAAAGGCATATTGGCAAAGCTTTGAATGTATATTAGTTATCTTTATACTTACGCCAGCAAATCCGAGGAAAAATCTGATGATCACTAGGCCAATGTGACTCATTCGCGCTGCTACGGGGGAGAGCATCGTCAGAATTGCACTCGCTACAGAGCTGACCAGTACCACATAACGAGGGCCCCAACGCTCGGCAGCCATGCCTCCCACTAATGACGTCACGGGGTAGCACCAAAAGTAAGCCCCGAGGATAAGGGCTTGCTGATCCGCTGACCATTCAAACGAACCACCACCGGGAACCTGAAATATATTTTCAATTTCACACCATACAAAAGATTTTATTAGTTTCCGACAAAAACTTGCTATGCTGCTTATCCAATATGGTTATCGTTGTGAGCTACAACGTAATTATACATTTTAGTTTTCAATTGGAAAGTGATCTTTGGAATTACGTTTAAAAAAAAGGTAAATTTAAAAAATCAAAATCAACTATTAAAGTAGCTTTGTTCCTTACTTAACAGAATAGGCTAGTTGACCCTTTTTGGGAAAAGGTTTTAAATGGTTAATAAATGTTCTATTAGACCGAAAAAAAATGTATTGGATTTTTTTAAACCTAGAAAGCTACAAATCTTTAATTTTAAAATAAACTTTTCATGGACATACAAAAACGCTGTCGGCCATTTTAGTCTATAGATTATCTATGCTATGACGTGAACTGTGGTAAACAAAAACTCGTAAACACGTAGAAAATTACTTTTAACTGAGTTTATAATAAAAAAAAAACATGATTTCTAATAAATACCACGAAAAATAACGTAATTATCATTACTGTATTGTACGAGAATATAAAAACACATCCTTGAAGACTCCAGGAAAGTTGTGGATTAAAGTGCCGAAAGAAATTAACCTACGCAACTTTATTACACTTATTCATATGTTGTATCAGTTTTATGTTTATTACTACATTGATATCGATTCTGGCATGATTCTCTAAAGCTAAACTTAAATTTGACAACAGTGCTTCCTTGTCATTCTCTATACAGAATGAAAAGGAGAGACTGATGCTAAATTTTGTTTTAAGTTTAGAGAATGACGCTAGAATCGACACCATTGTAATACTAAATGCACTATATTTACATAGATGCCTTGTCGTTTCTCTGCTCCGCAGAGCAGAAATCGGGGTTTAGTGCAACAAATTCATCAACCATCAATGCGTCAATTCTTGGCAGATTTGTGCTTTCTGCTTTCACAAAGCCGGCATCCATAATTAGTTTTGTCAAAAAAAACTAAGTTTACTGTTTTTTTCTTTCCTAAAGTTAAAAGTGTTTTAAGATAAATTTAGACGAAAGAATCAACCTACAGTAACACGCGCTTGACATTTAGTTGTTTACCACAAGAGACGTCAAAATCATGGCGGATGTGGCGAACAGCGGTTTTAGTGTTTAAAAAATATAGATTAAAAAATATTTTTTTAAATTAAATTTCTACAGCAATCTTCTGCTTTTATGCAGTGAAATCGATATATTAAGGTTCCTTAGACTAAATACTTTAAGAAATAAACATTTATTTTATACAATTCGACATGAGTAAACTAGCCTATTATAGACTACTGGACTTGTTTTTTTATTTTCAGTTTTTATTTGAAGTAATATTTAAGCAGTCGGGTTTTTTGATTTTTTAAATTTACCTTTTTTATTTTACACTTTTTAGTTAGGATTATAAGACAGTATATACTGCAGTCTTGTCACTTCAATAAAAGGGATTTAATATCAAGCAAATTATTAAGTACCTTGCGGTGGTCTAAACGACACCTTACCATCACGGTCAAGGCCTTATAGGCCTCAATTTTCGCAAAAATGTGTAAAGTAAAATCAATTCCTTATCAGTATATCTAATGAATGTAAATTATATACTTAACTAGTACTTATTTTCCGTATTTATTCAAAAAGTCATCTTTTGCTTATGTTCTTTTTAGTAGTAAATAAAAAAATCATTTACTTTTATTCGTCGACTATCTAAAATTGGCAGTGGCTGTATGCAACTCTAAGATTGTGATATGCACAAATACAGTGCATATCCTTGTCTCATAATTTGTTTTACTTACATAATTCACAGAACCAAATATGTAGGTGCCAGAGGTTAAATATTAATATCCTAACTATCTATCCTAATAGCTTGTATTATAAAGAGGCAAGAGTTGTATGCTTGTAACAAATAATCTCCTGATCACCTGATCCTATTTCGAAAATTCATTCACCATAAGGTAGCTTTGTGTAAGCATTAATCTTAATAAGTTTATTAATCTGCTCGATTTATAAACCCAAAGAAACTTATACTTAAAAAATTCTAACAACTTTTTGAGACGATTTTTTTTAGTATTTTTTTTTCTTTATAACTACATTATATTCGAGTGACATAGGCTATATTCTATCCCGTTAAAATAAATTTCGCCCATGCAATGTCGGAGCGGATCACTAGTATAATATAATATTGCGAAAGTGATTTTGTTTGTATCGATTCCGCGCCCTAATAGCTAAATCGATTATGAGAAATAGATGGAGCCTTGGTTCTAAGCTACATTATCGAAATATCTATAGGGTTAGGCTGATGGGAAGGGTGATTTACCTATAAAACTTTATATTATTTGATTCGAATTCTGCAGAATTATCTGCAGAATAATATGAAGTAATATCGTTAAAATAAACTTTGAAAACCGCTTCATTCTCAGTTTTTCATTAAATTTAAAAAAATATAAATACCTATTATGATAACTTATTTTTCATCATTTAATAAGAAGGAACTTTATCACAGTTTTATTATAAGTACTTCGTATAGGATTAGATACTGTGAGTAGCCCATTTTTTTTCTTTTCCTCCTAGGTTTTATCTACGTTTATAAACACCAAAATTCATCACTTTTCCCACCATTCCCGCAGATTCCCGCAATATACTTCGTAGCACGTCGTGAGGAGCTCGATGGCGCAAGTGGTTAGCGCGTTCCGCAGCGATCGTTGAATTTAAGCAACTTTCGCAGTGGTCGGTCATTGGATGGGTGACCATAATTTACTATCTCGAGCTCCTCCGTGTTTCGGAAGGCACGTTAAGCCGTTGGTCCCGGCTGCATCTGCAGTCGTTAGCACCCACCAACCCGCACTGGGCCCGCGTGGTGGGTCATGGCCCAATCTCCCTATTCCATCCATAGGGAAGCCTGTGCCCCAGCAGTGGGGACATTAATAGGCTGATGATGACTTCGTAGCACAACGCGCTATCACTTTGTCATGGTAACATCGTTGTAACTTTCTAAACATTTGTCGAAATTACACAAAGTAAAAGGCAAAGTTTATCGTCTTTAAATATCAAAAGCGATAAAAGTATTTGTTTTAATAAAAAAAGAATTTGTTTATACAAAATATGCATTTTGGAAATTTATCTATACTTATAATAAATCTGTAGAGAGGTCAATTCTGTACATGAAATATATTTTCAAAATAACTATCAGGGGGTGATTAGTGATCGATACTGATGCCAAAAATGCAATCAGTAAAAATTTTGTCTGTCTGTCTGTCTGTGTGTATGTTCCTTATAGAAACAAAAACTACTCAACGGATTTTAACGAAACTTGGTACAATTATTCTTCATACTCCTGGGCAGGTTATAGTATACTTTTCATCACGCTACAATCAATAGGAGCAGAGTAGTGAAGGGAAATGTTGGGAAAACGGGAGAAGTTACTCCATTTTTTCAGCTTCCGTCGCGTGTGCAGCCTTAATGGTTAAAGTTACATAGAAATTATGTATGACGGAAATATTCTACATAAAATTGTCTAAAAAATATCCCGCAACAGCATATGTCTATCTTTTATGGTTGACTCACAATAACACGTGTAACTCCTGATAGCTTAGCAGTTCGGAGCATTCCGATTATATAACGTAAATATGAGAATTTTAGTTTGATTATATATACAGGTAATAAAAATGACCGTTTTTATCTATATATATATAATTCTTCTGTGAGTGTGTATGTCACTGAACTTCTCTTAAACGACTGGACCGATTTTGATGAAATTTTTTGTGTGTGTTCAAGGGGATCTGAGAATGGTTTAGATTCACAATTTTGTCCGCTGGACAACCCCTATTTTTTTAGGGCGGTACGAAGTTCGCTGGGTCAGCTAGTATGTATATAAAAGTCAAAGGGCACAGACTGACATAGTGATCTATCAACGCACAGCCCAAACCACTGAACGGATCGGGCTGAAATTTGGCATGCAGGTAGATGTTACTCGTATGACGTAGGCATCCGCTAAAAAAGGATTTTGATCAATTCTACCCCCAAGGGGATAAAATAGAGAATGAAAATTTGTATGAAACTTTGTCAATTTTAAACCAATCGGGCTGAGACTTTGCATGCAGGTATAAGAAGAATCATAGATGAATGTCATTGTGTTTAATACAAGCCTGAGAAAAAAAACTATAGCGTACACTTCAGCTCTACACCGAAGCGAAGCGAGGGCGGGCCGCTAGTTTCAAATAATATTTTAATTTTGATTCACTATTTTACAGATATATGCTGTCCTGGACTTTTTTGTAGAACTATATAAGAGAAACATTTCCACCATACATTATATTCATGTAACTTTTATTGTTTTTGCAGTGCAGGCCAAAATGGCTCGCAGATGGGAGATTCTTTCCGTCTCACGTGACACTTATTGTTATATTTTGGCCAATTCACCAAATAACAACATAAATTATAATCTATATGCTATTATAATATATGAGCTTTATTATTGGTTAGTTTGATAAAAATCCATTCAGTATTTTTTGAGTGAAAGAGTTACAAGGATCCATACAAAGGTAAGATTGAAATTAAAAGCGCAAGTGGTTAATATACGATTTTAAATCGTTGTAGATCCTAAACAATTATATAAAATGAAAAATGGGGTAAGGAACCTAAATGTGATTTACGATTATCTAGACAATGATACCCCACTGGACATATTTCGGCAACTTATTTTTTTTTCTTTCTCACAATTTGGCACCCAGTTGTCTCCATATTGATTTTTGATTATTATCATATCTTTAGTAGCACTCCCATGATTAAGGCGAATCGATTGATGTATGAGTGCAGCTGCAGTAAAATGACGTTTCAAAATGTCATTCCGTAAAATAATGTTGACCGCCTAATTTCAATAGGGATGTGATTAGGTTCACAGAAAATCTAATCGTTCCATAACTAACTCATAATTATCATACTTAGTTCTATTTATTATTCATATAAATAAAAGGCTGTATAAATCTCAAGTTG